ATTCTAGTAGTGCTGGCTGACGGTGGTGTGTTGGCGTCTGAATACATTGCCCTTTTTAGACGTAAAAATAAACAATGTGGACACCAACTTAAAAACCTGTATTGTTAATAAAATTGAAGTCTCGAGGCTTACAGAGTTTTGCTTCACACTAATCATTTTGGTAGGATCTCCGGTAGAAACCTAAATGTCACCTTCTTTGCTCGTGCTAGCTAAAGTTTCTAAAAAACCAACCCGGTTCCAGGTTTCTATTGTCCTAAATTGTCCACTAAAGTTTACTAGTAATTAAGAGAAAAAATAATTTTTATGATAAAGTGCTTTACAGAAATACGAATAAATTAAGAGCGTAGTCGAGAGAAGGATTTTCGCTTTTTTTGTTATTTGAAACGAACTTAACTTTTAAATTAACAGATACAGCGGTGCAAGCAGCTTAGCATAACGTGAAAGACTCAGGGGAAAGTCCAGAGCGCTAAGCAAATACTGAATAACTATTACAAATTACAGAAACCAACACTGACAAATTGATAGGTTTAAATCAAATTTAATTACTGAAAATCTCTCTGAAGTTTAGGCTATCACAGTCGATTCTAAAGATAAATGCATATACTAGTTTGAAGTTAACGGAAATATGCCACTGAAATTGAGAGTAATCTGCTTTTCTTAGGGTTCTCGATGATGATAATTTAAATGTTTATGCTCATAGATGTGGTGTATTAAAGATGTAGCAGCCAAATGGTTAAATTCTGTGAGATTTTTGACTGCGAGATTTTTGGCTTTAAAAGAAAAAGGGATGATCGAGAGTTCATTTTTAGTTATTTCGCTTCAAATATTTTCCAGGATATGTAAGAGAAACTTAACAGGAGGGTCAAATCATGAAGAAACAAGAGAATGCTCAATTCCACAACAAATACCTTTCGGTAAAAGGGTTGATATGAAATTGGGATGCATTAAAAACATCCCATTGATTACAAGGCAGATTTTCTTGCGAGAATACAGCCTGTACGCCATATCCTTTCGACAATACGACGATAGGACGGCAAAAGCTGCAGCCGTGGCTGAGCTTGCTGATGCTCTTAGTGCCACGAGCGGGTACTACTGCTCTCAATTATTTGTAAACGTATTTGGATAAACACGAACAAGATTTCTCTCTAATTGAACTAACAACTGCACTTCTATTAATATATCCTTTCAGCAGCGTGGGTTGCCTATAAAGCTAAAAATCTCGAACGATCTAGGTTTTACTAACTACTAGCAACTAACAGTAAAACAGATAACACACAAATTGTGCATAAAACCCATGTGTTCGGTTCTTTATAGTACAAAAGAGAATAAAATTAAATAAGTCGCTTAATTTAGGCCAAGCTAAATCCACAATTTTGGGCCTAATTTTTTGCCATTAGATGTGGCCTGGTTAAATCAAAGCTGGCAATATTTTTCATTGTTTTTGTCTAAATTTTCCCATCCTGTAATTTTTTAGGATTTCCAGGCACATGCATGGGTTATAAAAAATTTGATTGTTAATTTCTGGTCATTTTTATCGAGGCTCATTACGAGGTGGAGACCAAAAGTCATTGGCCAAGGCAGAAAAAATCGCAAGTGTTCAGGGGAAAGTATTTAGTCGCCAGCGACAAAAATCGCCGTCGTTGGCGACAAAAATCGCCGTCGTTGGCGACAAAAATAGCTAGTGTGCGCTAGGCTTAAATGCTGCTTACGAGTAGCGCCGTGACTACCAAGCCCAGATTGAATTGCGCAAAATGAACCATATGACGTTAAGGTTACGGTAAACGTTTTCTGGATGAAAAACATCCTTTTTTCGATTATCTCACATTCAAGTAGTTGAACTTTCAAGGCACACAATGATACCAACATTGAAACGAACAGAAATCTTGAAAATGGAAAAAATGCCATGTAAACGAAGGTTTCCATAATTTCTTTATCAGAACATTTAGTTGAGGCCTGAAAATCTCTTGACCTGTTAAGTGTTGCTTTGCGGTGGTTGTGGTCGCATGTCTCATTTAAAATATCGCATGGCACATCCATGTATCCCATGTACGGCCGTGTTTATTTAAACAAGCTTATTGATCTTAAAGATTCAAGTGACTTGACCCGGATTACGTTGTTTACGAGTGTACCTTGCAAGCAAGATCAGTAAAATCTCGTTTTCTCCAAACCCACAAATCCTCTACATACAGGTAAGAAAAAGCTATTGTGTACCCAAGAAGTCAATCGAATGGCTCAAAAATTTGCCCACGGCCAGGACAGATGTCGGGTAAGCAAACAGTGTCTCAAAATTTTTGGATTTGCTCTGGTCCGTCTTTTATAGCCAAATACAGCTATGAGAGGGAAGAAAAATTGTTTGCCAATTTTTGACAGGGTACAGTTTCAAGGGGAGGAGGAATTTGAAAAATCTCAGACAAATTTTGGTAGCTTAGGATCTGCGCGTTCTGCTGATATAAGTCAGATTTTGATACCTAAAACGCAAGGGTACAAACTAGCTTTTGAAGGTGGTTTACTCATTTAAGCAATAATTTGCCTGGAAAATATAATATAATTATGGTTGGAATCACCATGTTTTTGTGCATCGAATGATGTATAGTGTAATCTGATTCCATCAATAGTTTGATTTTTAGGGAGAGAAAACCAAATATCGTGTCAAAAACGTTTGCCCTAACCTTAATAGGAAAACAGCGTATCCTAAAACGTTTCAAAAAACAGAATCATTCACTTCTTTTGCGACCCCTTTTTCGAGGTTAGAAGATTTTCTTCTCTTCTTCCGGCATAAAAAATCAATAAACTGGATTAACAAATAAATCAGCTCAAATACAGAAAAAATTGATGCACCAATCCATATTCCCATCTGGCCTCCAATTTCTCCAACAAACCTTTCAGTAGTATACATTTTAAGTTCAGTTATTTTCTCATACTCCATACCCCCAAAAAAGACGCTGATTACAACGATGTGCTTATGGATCCTTGGGTCCTCTGATGTCATCTTTGCAGTTGATGAATACTTGCGAAATTTCGTTTCTGTACACGGTAGCTCGCAGTTGCAGGAGGCGTAATTCGAATCAAGGAGCTTTTCAGTAATTGTCAAAGAGCATGAAGCTTCGCTTTGATTTCTTGATAGTTGCTTTCTCATCGCTTTTGGTAAAAGGTGGCTATGCCAAGCGAATATATAAGAACATCTTTGTGAAACTTGGCTAAGGAGGCAAGACAATCTGCAGTTGCTAACTGTATAATCACCTTTGAAAAGCAGCTTCATGTTTTCGCCATTTGTGCATTTTGATGGGTAAGGAGGTTTAAGCCTCGTAATCTCGGTCTTTTTCATTTCAATAAAAGTCTGATGGCCGATTGGAGCAAGAATTCTCCCAGAATCCAGAGACGGAAATTGTTTGTGATCTTGTATGAGAACATGAACGGCGTCTGTTGGAGAGGTATTAAATTGTACTCCATTTGATAAATTTACAAATAAAATAATATCGAAGGTGAACCCAAGATTAACCGATTTTTGTATGGCAGTTCCATTCGCATTTACTTTGTAGCAATAACCTTGGTTGGCCACAAGTACTCTTTCGATGGCAATGTCATGTTTGTCAGGGGTGATAATAAACATGGTGTTGTTATCATATGCTAGATCTTCTAGAGAGGAAGCTTTCCATAATATGTCATCCATGTTGTCTATACGTCCAAGCCAGTTATATTTAACGGTTATGTTTTTCTCTTTTGCGAATTTTGTGACTTTAGCTTTACTAAGGCTTGGCCCGCATACTGTTACAGCTGGAATCTTCATTTCTGATACCCTGACAGTTTCTTCTTTTGTTAAAGACGGGCTTTTGAAGTAGCCCCGAATTGTTGGCATCACTGTCAAAATTACAAGTGATACGAAGAAAAGAATTAGCAACAACCAGATGCATCTCATTGCTTTTGATTTGGTCGAAAGCAATCTTCCGAATCCATGCATGGTCACACTTGCTGCTGATTCTTTCAAGTCGTTTGCTGTTCTTTGATCCATCTTTAAAGTTGTTAATAATAACAAATTTTGTTACCGCTTGCTCTTTCCTTTGGTTTTCTTTCCTTCGGGTTTGTTTCCTTCGGCAACTGAGAAGAATATCTGAATCTTCTTGGTATCTCTATCCAACCTCTGTTCTAGAAGCACAACGTTCTGTCAGTGCACCGTTCAGGGTTACCAATAGGCTCTGTGGCGTGATATGATTGGGGAATTACATTTACGTTGCCGATTTGACACTTAACGATAGATCTATTGTATAGTCCAATCAATGGGAAATTGAATGGCCATGGAAATTGAATGGCCATGGAAATGAGTTGAGGAATAGTGCCTTTACGGAGGTGTTACAATCAAAGAACAGTCATTATTCAAGTACCGGCAATTCCATTTCACAAGATGCATCTGCCATTTAATATGGCCGAAAAATACTACCCAAAAAGTAGTATTAACGAGAGTGAGATATATGGTGCAATTACAGGTGTCTCGATTTCTAATTTGATGAATACCACACGTGTGATAGAACGAATAACGAAATTTCCATATATGGATAGATATATAATATCACGCATGAATCATTTACGAATTCATTTAAGTATGTTCATATATAATCTGAAGAATTCACCAGCTTTATCGTTTTATAATATAACTAAACGTCATAAAGTTTTTGATCTAAGCCTCTTCATGCAACCGTTCTTTCTACCTAGCTTTTTGTTATTGATGTCCATATAGAAGGGCTGCGTATACCCAACTTGTCAAGTAACATCAAAATATTGGTTTGCGATTGGTCGGTATTGCAAAACTACTCACATGAAAAGCTTACCTCGCAGCAGAGTAGACAAACAGAACTACCGTAATGGCTGGGAAGTTGAAATCAAAAAACACATGTTTCTGAAAACCCCCGCAGAGTTGCTTGCTTTAGCTTGACACATTACCTTTAGGGCCGGACGTACACGACGCCGTATTGGGTAAACTTCTCGTTCTTTACTTATGAATACTGAAAGCCAAACCAGAATTAAACCGGAACCGGAATTAAAGTCACGCCGTGCTAGTGGCGAAGTGAAAACCGACCTGAAGTACTTCGCTGCGCATTCTATTTTGCGTGATAGCTCTGAATTGGTTGTCTGCATCATTTTCTTTCGATGCAAAGAGCTTGGTGTTTAGAGAAAGATCCTTCACCAAGACACTAAACAGCTTCCCAAGTCACGGTCAAGCGATCAAACATTTTACCCAGCATTTTTTGTTTGGTATTTAGGCAGAGAAAGTAAAAACTAAACAACAAAAATATGTTTATTTGTAGACTTATTTTGTTGGGTCCAATGTTATGTAAACAAAACGCAAAGCAGAGCGACAATAAATTTCAATTCCAGTAACAACTTTTAATGGAGACGTGACCAGACCTTTCAACTCTCCCGGTTTTGCCAGGAGACTCCAGGTTTTGCTTGCTTTCTCCCGGTCTCCCGGTTTTTTATGATTTTCTCCCTGTTTTTCCTTGTCCTACAGCAAAGGTTTTCTTATAGCAAAAACGATTGAAATGACTTTCTTCGCGACAAAAATTTTTTTCACTTATTTTCAAATCAACAAAAACGTTAAAAACCATTAGGAAGACGCTACCCATGATAATTCTTGTCATAAAATGTTTGTCAAAAATGACATTTTTGATAGGGATGTACCGGATATCCGGTAGGCCGGATAATCCGGCGCCGGATCGCTGATTTTTTGAAAATCCGGTTCCGGCCGGATTTGTTTCCGAAATCCGGCAATTTTCCAGAACTTTAATCATAACTAAGAAAATTTGGAAAACCAAGTCAGACTCCCTTCATACAGTGATTAAAAATGGATTTTCCAGAACTAAACAATATCGACGATAAAACAAGCGCCTTGAAAACAGATTTGAATGAAAGTGCTCGTCATCACGAAACAGGAAGACTGGATGATATAATTCACAGATTTGGTCCAGGGTTGCCAGATCGGCTTTTTAGGCAAAATTTTTCATTTTTGGTTTTTAGATTTAGATTGCCTGGAAAAATTGTTTTTTTCTTACTTCTTAAATTTGACCTTGTTAGCCTTTTCAGCAGAACGTCTAAAATTAATAAGTAATTACTACATTCATAGAATAATTAGTAGTTAACTACAAAGTGTTAACCAAATTTCAAATTTTATCACCTAACCTAAAAATTATCTTGATATTAGCAAAGGGTTTTAGAAAAAAGTAAGATTCTTATCAAAGTTAAGAAATTATCTAACAGGCACAAGCGTAGAAATATAGCCAGTGCCTGCTCGATGGATTCTTGGGAGAGTTTTTGATTTGGCCTTTTTATGAGCATTTTGGCTTAAATTGCTCACCAGTCTAGCCTTCGTTTGTAAATTCAATCTGGCAACCCTGAATAGGTCTCTTTGATCTTCTCGCTATACATTTTTTCGCAAAGTGGCTCAAAACTTTTTATTACTGAAAATTCTATAAATGGTCAGATTATCCGGTAGAGTCCGGCCGGATATTCCACGAAGAAATCCGGTAAATCCGGTTCCGGCCGGATTCTGAAAATCCTGATCCGGTACACCCCTAATTTTTGACAGGTATGTTGTCTATAAATTCAACAAATTCTAGGGATCTCCCTGTTTTGTGGGCAAATTTCCCTGTTTTTCTCAACAAAAAACTGAAATCTCCAGGTTTTGAAAATTTTCGGTTGACAGATCTGCGTGCTATCGTTCAAATCGACAAGGGCAACCTGGGGTCACTTACTCAACTCCTTTGCGGACTTCATGAAGGTTATGGAACACAGGAAGTTTTGCTTTTTATCCAAGATCGCCTGCTGGGAAAAAGCCAAAGCATAAAGGTTTATCTTAAGTAAAGTGAATCGAAAGCTGTAAAAACAGGGGTTCTTCAAGGTACTATTTTTGGTTCCTTTCTCCTGTGCAATTGTGCAGATGATAATACAAATTGAATTGATAGAATGCATATAAGAACGGCATTTCCACTTAAAGGCAATCTGTCATGACGTTGATTGGTTATAAGAACAAAGGGATTTCTATTGTTTCCAGTCCCCCTTTAATTTATCGCATTGTAAAAAATATGGCGGAGCGCTGGAATCGTGTTTTGGCTATTGTTCCAGCTATTGCTCTCGTTAGCATGACAACGAGACCGATTGCCTTTAACTATAACAGGAGTTGACTATGAAAAAGCAATGATTGAAAGCCAGTGTTAATCGCATCTAAAGTGCTTAACTTTGAAAATAAAGGTTTCCATCATTTTCCAGTGACCTGGAAGGGGAAAGTTTGACACTCACCAAAGCGTCTTGTGCCGGTTCTGAATACGTTGCGATGGCTTCAATTCTAGTAGTGCTGGCTGACGGTGGTGTGTTGGCGTCTGAATACATTGCCCTTTTTAGACGTAAAAATAAACAATGTGGACACCAACTTAAAAACCTGTATTGTTAATAAAATTGAAGTCTCGAGGCTTACAGAGTTTTGCTTCACACTAATCATTTTGGTAGGATCTCCGGTAGAAACCTAAATGTCACCTTCTTTGCTCGTGCTAGCTAAAGTTTCTAAAAAACCAACCCGGTTCCAGGTTTCTATTGTCCTAAATTGTCCACTAAAGTTTACTAGTAATTAAGAGAACAAATAATTTTTATGATAAAATGCTTTACAGAAATACGAATAAATTTAGAGCGTAGTCGAGAGAAGGATTTTCGCTTTTTTTGTTATTTGAAACGAACTTAACTTTTAAATTAACAGATACAGCGGTGCAAGCAGCTTAGCATAACGTGAAAGACTCAGGGGAAAGTCCAGAGCGCTCAGCAAATACTGAATAACTATTACAAATTACAGAAACCAACACTGACAAATTCCTTGATAGGTTTAAATCAAATTAAATTATTGAAAATCTCTCTGAAGTTTAGGCTATCACAGTCGATTCTAAAGATAAATGCATATACTAGTTTGAAGTTAACGGAAATATGCCACTGAAATTGAGAGTAATCTGCTTTTCTTAGGGTTCTCGATGATGATAATTTAAATGTTTATGCTCATAGATGTGGTGTATTAAAGATGTAGCAGCCAAATGGTTAAATTCTGTGAGATTTTTGACTGCGAGATTTTTGGCTTTAAAAGAAAAAGGGATGATCGAGAGTTCATTTTTAGTTATTTCGCTTCAAATATTTTCCAGGATATGTAAGAGAAACTTAACAGGAGGGTAAAACCATGAAGAAACAAGAGATAACTTAATTCCACAACAAATACCTTTCGGTAAAAGGGTTGATATGAAATTGGGATGCATTAAAAACATCCCATTGATTACAAGGCAGATTTTCTTGCGAGAATACAGCCTGTACGCCATATCCTTTCGACAATACGACGATAGGACGGCAAAAGCTGCAGCCGTGGCTGAGCTTGCTGATGCTCTTAGTGCCACGAGCGGGTACTACTGCTCTCAATTATTTGTAAACGTATTTGGATAAACACGAACAAGATTTCTCTCTAATTGAACTAACAACTGCACTTCTATTAATATATCCTTTCAGCAGCGTGGGTTGCCTATAAAGCTAAAAATCTCGAACGATCTAGGTTTTACTAACTACTAGCAACTAACAGTAAAACAGATAACACACAAATTGTGCATAAAACCCATGTGTTCGGTTCTTTATAGTACAAAAGAGAATAAAATTAAATAAGTAGCTTAATTTAGGCCAAGCTAAATCCACAATTTTGGGCCTAATTTTTTGCCATTAGATGTGGCCTGGTTAAATCAAAGCTGGCAATATTTTTCATTGTTTTTGTCTAAATTTTCCCATCCTGTAATTTTTGAGGATTTCCAGGCACATGCATGGGTTATGAAAAATTTGATTGTTAATTTCTGGTCATTTTTATCGAGGCTCATTACGAGGTGGAGACCAAAAGTCATTGGCCAAGGCAGAAAAAATCGCAAGTGTTCAGGGGAAAATATTTAGTCGCCAGCGACAAAAATCGCCGTCGTTGGCGACAAAAATCGCTAGTGTGCGCTAGGCTTAAATGCTGCTTGCGAGTAGCGCCGTGACTACCAAGCCCAGATTGAATTGCGCAAAATGAACCATATGACGTTAAGGTTACGGTAAACGTTTTCTGGATGAAAACATCCATTTTTCGATTATCTCACATTCAAGTAGCTGAACTTTCAAGGCACACAATGATACCAAAATTGAAACGAACAGAAATCTTGAAAATGGAAAAAATGCCATGTAAACGAAGGTTTCCATAATTTCTTTATCAGAACATTTAGTTGAGGCCTGAAAATCTCTTGACCTGTTAAGTGTTGCTTTGCGGTGGTTGTGGTCGCATGTCTCATTTAAAATATCGCATGGCACATCCATGTATCCCATGTACGGCCGTGTTTATTTAAACAAGCTTATTGATCTTAAAGATTCAAGTGACTTGACCCGGATTACGTTGTTTACGAGTGTACCTTGCAAGCAAGATCAGTAAAATCTCGTTTTCTCCGAACTCACAAATCCTCTACATACAGGTAAGAAAAAGCTATTGTGTACCCAAGAAGTCAATCGAATGGCTCAAAAATTTGCCCACGGCCAGGACAGATGTCGGGTAAGCAAACAGTGTCTCAAAATTTTTGGATTTGCTCTGGTCCGTCTTTTATAGCCAAATACAGCTATGAGAGGGAAGAAAAATTGTTTGCCAATTTTTGACAGGGTACAGTTTCAAGGGGAGGAGGAATTTGAAAAATCTCAGACAAATTTTGGTAGCTTAGGATCTGCGCGTTCTGCTGATATAAGTCAGATTTTGATACCTAAAACGCAAGGGTACAAACTAGCTTTTGAAGGTGGTACACTCATTTAAGCAATAATTTGCCTGGAAAATATAATATAATTATGGTTGGAATCACCATGTTTTTGTGCATCGAATGATGTATAGTGTAATCTGATTCCATCAATAGTTTGATTTTTAGGGAGAGAAAACCAAATATCGTGTCAAAAACGTTTACCCTAACCTTAATAGGAAAACAGCGTATCCTAAAACGTTTCAAAAAACAGAATCATTCACTTCTTTTGCGACCCCTTTTTCGAGGTTAGAAGATTTTCTTCTCTTCTTCCGGCATAAAAAATCAATAAACTGGATTAACAAATAAATCAGCTCAAATACAGAAAAAATTGATGCACCAATCCATATTCCCATCTGGCCTCCAATTTCTCCAACGAATCTTTCAGTAGTATACATTTTAAGTTCAGTTATTTTCTCATACTCCATACCCCCAAAAAAGACGCTGATTACAACGATGTGCTTATGGATCCTTGGGTCCTCTGATGTCATCTTTGCAGTTGATGAATACTTGCGAAATTTCGTTTCTGTACACGGTAGCTCGCAGTTGCAGGAGGCGTAATTCGAATCAAGGAGCTTTTCAGTAATTGTCAAAGAGCATGAAGCTTCGCTTTGATTTCTTGATAGTTGCTTTCTCATCGCTTTTGGTAAAAGGTGGCTATGCCAAGCGAATATATAAGAACATCTTTGTGAAACTTGGCTAAGGAGGCAAGACAATCTGCAGTTGCTAACTGTATAATCACCTTTGAAAAGCAGCTTCATGTTTTCGCCATTTGTGCATTTTGATGGGTAAGGAGGTTTAAGCCTCGTAATCTCGGTCTTTTTCATTTCAATAAAAGTCTGATGGCCGATTGGAGCAAGAATTCTCCCAGAATCCAGAGACGGAAATTGTTTGTGATCTTGTATGAGAACATGAACGGCGTCTGTTGGAGAGGTATTAAATTGTACTCCATTTGATAAATTTACAAATAAAATAATATCGAAGGTGAACCCAAGATTAACCGATTTTTGTATGGCAGTTCCATTCGCATTTACTTTGTAGCAATAACCTTGGTTGGCCACAAGTACTCTTTCGATGGCAATGTCATGTTTGTCAGGGGTGATAATAAACATGGTGTTGTTATCATATGCTAGATCTTCTAGAGAGGAAGCTTTCCATAATATGTCATCCATGTTGTCTATACGTCCAAGCCAGTTATATTTAACGGTTATGTTTTTCTCTTTTGCAAATTTTGTGACTTTAGCTTTACTAAGGCTTGGCCCGCATACTGTTACAGCTGGAATCTTCATTTCTGATACCCTGACAGTTTCTTCTTTTGTTAAAGACGGGCTTTTGAAGTAGCCCCGAATTGTTGGCATCACTGTCAAAATTACAAGTGATACGAAGAAAAGAATTAGCAACAACCAGATGCATCTCATTGCTTTTGATTTGGTCGAAAGCAATATTCCGAATCCATGCATGGTCAAACTCGCTGCGGATTCTTTCAAGTCAATTTCTGTTCTTTGATCCATCTTTAGATCTTTGAAAAATCTGGAATTTTATTACTTCTGTTTTATCAAGACTGTGTAAATCTTGTGTTTCTTCTTCGACACTTCTTTTGTATTCTGTGTGTTGTTTTTCATTAGCACCCGGTGTTTTAATGGTTTACAGGAGCAGGTTGTACTTATTGATTTGATATCAATATCTGTTGATACCATTTTTGCCACCGGTATAATCATTTCTATTGAAGCTGGAGTACTAACGCATATAATAGCTAATTGGTTTACCCGCTTTAACGGATTACGCTGCTCATCTCAATGGCAACACAGCCATTTGATTCAGATAATCCGGAATTCAAGTTGTTTCTGATTGGTTTAAAGCGTTTAATTGGCACTCAAGTTCAACGGTGCGTTAATAACACTCCGGTAAAGAAATGAGTACAATAGGAAACAGATTGCCTTTAATCATAGTCAATAGAAAAACCAAAAGAGTTTTTTCTATTGACTATACTTTAAAGGCAGTCTGTCCCCTTCGTGATGCTCAGGGAAATTACGCTATTGTGGTTCTTCATTCTGATTGTTTATTTGTGCATAGAATCGATGATGCATGAATATCGTGGCCATGAAAAGAGATTCTGAGGACAATGGGGGACATACTGCCTTTAACGTTATCAAGGCTCTTCCAAAGTTAAATTTACGCAGATCGACAACATAAACAATTCTTACTATTGAATGGAATAAACAGCGTGCACACGCTTTTGACACGTACGTGTAATGTGTATATCCTTAGTATTTTCTTAAAACCCCACGCAGTTACAATGTTATATTGTAGTGTAATACGTGCCTATATACGCGGCAGCACGTAGAGTAATAATCAAAATGATGATTTAATATTTGATTTAGAACAGTACGAAATTACATGTTATGATTCTCTATACCAAATAAGGACATACCCATGGTAAATATCAATCGACCAGTCACTGTGAATGTGAATACATATGTTGTAACACGAAATTAGTTAGGGAGTTGGTTGGAGTTAGAGTTGAAAGTAAGAAATGTGATTGATGGATATGTAAAAAGAAATGGTTGTGGATTTAATACTAAACGATTGTGATCTTTTTTTGGTTCTGCATCTTAAACTTCGTCCATCATTAAATTTTGTGATAGGGGCACCGCTAGAAATAATGGTCCATTACGTTACGTCACAGAATATGTCGAAAAACATCTTGTTCACGGTGGTGTATTATATACAAGAATAAAAAATTTATGATACCGGCCATAAAGCCCTGGCAAAACGACTAAACATTTCACTAAACATTTCATTCAACTTTTGTTTAGTGAAAAGTTTAGTGGGAAGTTTATTCGTTTTGCCACCGTGTTTAATGTGGTTCAGTCGTGTTGAAGCCAGCTTCTATCTCCTCATTTGTAGCGTTGTGTTGTAATTATCGTTTATAGTAATTTGTAAGTAGCCTAAGTAGCTTGATTATACCTCATTCGCACTGACGCGGCTGAGCCGGCTTTGTCCAAACCAGGTTAGATTTAACCATCAAATGCATCCAATCAAACGCACAATCAATGATCTGGTTTGGTTTGGGCTGGTTTGACTTCTCGGTGTGATTGGGGTACAAGCAAGCTGTATCGTAGGTGTTAGTCTAGTTCCATGTCTTTATGTTATGGCCGTGGTGTAGTCATTTATTTTTGCTCCCATGGCATCGTCCTGTAGCGTTGCATAGTTATTTAAAGCATAGTACAATGTAGCCTATGTTTGTAATATCTTGTATGGATATATATAAAAAAGACATCCATAAAAACTTTGGTTTCTCACAGAAAAAGGCTAGAAGCAAATGACTTCTAAGTTAACAGACTCGCATTATGCAGACGACCTAGGCCTATTTGACAACAATATGTGCGTGTTCAACAACTATTACAACCCCTAGAAGATGCAGCATTCGTTACTTGTCTGAATGTGAAGGTCGGACAAACTAAGAGAATTTAAAAACAAAACAAATAAAGTTGTAATGAAAGCTAAGAATGAAATACAGATGAAGAAAGCCGAACGATCAAAATACTTGCCCAATGGAGAGATTTTCTGAAAAAAACTAATGAACAAATGGTGGAATAATGCGAAACGAGCAATATCTGTGAAAAAACATACATCTTCCCTTTCAAAAATACATGCAGCCAGTATTAAGCAAGGCAGGTCTACCAATATGATAAACATTAACAAGCTGTTTCTTCAGCAATAGAATACAAAAATGCAATTGGAAAAAATTCTACCCTTCCAATCTTACACAATGTTAGTAAATTAGGCATGCCTTCCTCTCCTAACAATTCAAGCAATTGGTTGAGACTGGAATAGGGTAAGACATACATTATAACCATCAAATACTTACACATGTGTTTAACTCGTTCTTTTTGAAAATAGAGTTTCATAGTTCTTAGCTTAATACTTAAAGCTTAAACTTCCCGGTCTCTTTGCCTAGAAAAGTTGTCTCGAGATCGTTTTTACGCTGGAATTGAAAACTATGCCTCTCTATAAAAAGGTTGATATCAAATTGAGATGCATCGAAAACATCCCTTGCGATAATACAGCCTGTTGGAAGCGAAGTGTCATATGACATGGAAATCGATGTCTGTTTACAGGCAAACTTCGGATCATTAACCATCCAATCCCCTTCACTCTTGATAGTTTTCGCACATTCCATCCTGATTCAAACAAGAAAAATTGGTTCTTGAAAATTAAAGGGTTACCCTTCTCTCCTTTCTGGTTCTCTAGTTTGCTTCCTCTTTCTCCACATACTCAAGTTCCCTATCATTAGCAGCCTATCATTAGAAGGTAGTCTTATAAAAGTGAGGTGCATAGAAAGTATTCTACAATTGTTATGACGACCTCATAAAACAGAATCATTCGCTTCTTTTGACATCCCTTTATCGAGGTTAGAAGATTTCCTTCTCTTCTTCCGGCACAAAACACCCGCAAACTGGACGAACAAATAAATCAGCTCAAATAAAGAAAAAATTGATGCACCAATCCATATTCCCATCTGGCCTCCAATTTCTCCAACGAACCTTTCAGTAGTATACATTTTAAGTTCAGTTATTTTCTCATACTCCATACCCCCAAAGAAGACGTTAATAGCCACGATGTGCTTATGGATACTTGGATCAGAAGATGTTAGCTTTGCAGATGATGAATATTTATTGTATCTTGTTTCTGTACACGGTAGTTCACAGTTGCAGGAAGCGTAATTCGAATTATAGAGGCTTTCGTGAATTGAATAAGTGCATGATAATTCGCTTTCATTTCTTGCGAGCGGCTTTCTCATCGCCTTTGGTAAAAGGATGCTATCAAAAAAGTGGATACGAGAACATTTTTGTGAAACTTGGATAAGGAAACAAGACAGTCGGCAATTGCTAATCGAATAGTCACCTTTGAAAAGCAGTCTCAAGTTTTCGCCATTTGTGCATTTTGATGGGTACGGAGGTTTTAGCCTCTTAATTTCAGTTTTTTTAATTTCAATAGAGGTCAGATGACCTACTGGAGCAAGAACCGTCCCAGAATCCCGTGATGGAAGTTGTCTGTGATCTTGTATGTTCACTTCAACGGAGTCCGTTGTAGACCTGCGTAAATATACTCCATCTGATATATTTAGGAACAATCCTATGAAAAGAAATTTCTCGATATCAGTCGAGCGTTGTACGAAAGATCCATTCGCATTTACTTTGTAGCAGTAACCTTGGTTGGCCACAAGCACTCTTTCGATGGCAATGTCATTTTCGTCAGGGTTGATAATAAACATGGTGTTGTTATCAAATGCTAGATCTTCTAGAGAGGAGGCTCTCCCTAATATGTCATCGATGTTGTCTATAAGTCCAATCCGGTTATATTTGACGGTTAGGTTTTTCTCCTTTGCAAAATTTGTGACTTTAGCTTTACTAAAGCTTGGTCCGCATACAGTTATGGCTGGCATTTTCATTTCAGATACCCTAACAGTTTCTACTTTTGTTAAAGACGGGCTTTTGAAGTATCTCCGTACTGTTGGCGTCACTGTCAAAATTACAAGCGATACAAAGAAAAGCATTAGCAACAGCCAGATGCATCGCATTGCCTTTGATTTGGTCGACAGCAATCTTCCGAATCCATGCATGGTCAAATTCGCTGCTGATTCTTTCAACTCGTTTGCTGTTCTTTGATCCATCTTTAAAGTTGTTAATAACCGCGATTTTTGTTACCGCTTGCTCTTTCCTTTGGGTTTCTTTCCTTCGGGTTTCTTTCCTTCGGCAACTGAGCAGAATATTGGAATCTTCTTGGTATCTCTATCCAACCTCAGTTCTAGAAGCACAACGTTCTGTCAGTGCACCGTTTAGGGTTACCTCTGTGGCGTGATATGATTGGGGAATCACATTTACGTTGCCGATTTGACACTTAACGATAGATCTATTGTATAGTCCAATCAATGGGAAATTGAATGGCCATGGAAATTGAATGGCCAAATCAACATTTTATTCTAAGCACTAGAACAACAACTCCATTAGCGTGCAATGCTTTTCTTTAATTTTAGTTGTTCAAAAGAACAAACAGACCTATTCTATTATCCTGATACCATTCATTTGTACTTCTGATCGAAGGCGCCAATTTAAAAACTGAAAAAACAATTGAAATCCACCCAACCAATCAAATTCGGTTACTTGAATTTTAGAAACCTGTGAACAAGAAAATCGGATCAGCTTCGCAGACTCTACTTTCTCTCCTTTTTTCAATTTTGTCAACAGAGTCGTCACGCAAGCTACTATTCAAGTACCGGCAATTCCATTTTACTAGTTGCATCTGCCATTTAATATTGCGCACAAATACGCAAAAAATTGTATTCATGAAAGTGAGATATATGATGCAATAACTGGTGTCCCGATATCTGATTGAATGAATACCACATGTGCGATGGAACAAATAACGAATTTTGCATATATGAATCGATAAATAATATAATGCATTTTCACGTATAATCTATATAGTACATCAGCTTGATCGTTTTATAATATTACAAGCGTTATGCTTCCAATCATATTGCGTCAATTTAGGGGTCCCAACCAAGGTTTGACGTTGGCTTGTCCTTGCATCACTTCTGCATAAAAATTTGTATAACCCTTGAGGCACGAATAACATGACGCCGTATTTGGTTAGCTTCCTGTTCTTTTACTTAAGCCTGGTTTCCATATAGCCGTAAGGATGCCTGCGGCTGCCTGCGACTGCTTTCTGCCATCTTCCATCTTCCATCCCTACGGTATCGCCGGCAGATAATTCTTTATGGAAACGCTTTCTAACGGTACCGCAGGCAGCTGTTTGAAGTGCCGTAAGACTGCCGGGAGAGCCGGGAGAAAGTTGAACGAGTTCAACTTTTCCCGGCTCTTACGGCAGCCTCCCGGTACCGCCGACAGACAAATTACAAATGGAAACGCCTTGCCTGCGGCTGCCTGCGGCATTCTTTTGTTCAAACGGATCATGTGATGTGCAAGAACCAATTGAAACAGGGCTTTGTTGTTGAATTTTGCCCGCCAGTTTTTCCCGCTCAAACTTTACCTAGTTACCGGCATAGTTACCGATACCGCAGGCAATTGAAAACAGAACGTTTCCATTTGCCGGCGCTACTGTAAGGGTGGAAGATGGAAGATGGCAGAAAGCAGTCGCAGGCAGTCGCAGGCAGTCGCAGGCAGCCTTACGGCTATATGGAAACCAGGCTTTATGGATACTGAAAGCCAAACCGGAATTAAATACACGCCGTGCTAGTGGCGAAGTGTAAACGGATCCGAAGTACTTCGCCTCGCATTCTATTTTTTGTAACAGTTCCGAATGGGTTGTCTGGTCTGGATCATTGTCTCTTGATGCAAAAAGCTTAGCTTTTAGAGAAAGACCCTTCACCAAGACGCTAAAGCCCCGGCCAAACGACTCGAGGGAAAAATCGAGTCGTTTGGCCACCTTGTGGAGCGAGTCGAATGGTGTTGAGTGAGATCGAGTGAAGTGTGATCTTTATCAAAAAAGTCGAGTGAAAAAGGTGTTGTCGAATGAAAATCGAATCGTTTGGCCACCTTGTCAAGTGAATCGAGTGAGCGCGTGCGCAGTTATCAACTCTAATGCTTAGTTATTTTTAAAAGAGCTAGGGTTATATTCGAGAGCGGGGCGGCCAAAAGGGGCAGGGAAGTATACTAGCCTGGGGACTTTTAAAAGTGATGAATTCCATTTTAAGAATCGAATTAATCAAACGAAACAAAAGTATACCTAAAAATAGTAATTTGCTTAAACGAAAAAAAAATATTTAGTGACGGTTACTGCATGAAACGAACGAACAGGATCTTATGACAATAGAGTTCGTCAAGAGAATGTAAAAGGACATTTGCATCAGCTGCTTTGCGTTTCTTTGTCTTCATTTCAAATGTTTGTTGGCATGAGTAAAAGTCGAGTGAAAAATCGAGCGAAAAATCAAATCGTTTGGCCCAGACAGCTTCCTAAGTCACGGCCAAACATTTTACCCAACATTTTGTTTTTGGTATTTAGGCAATGAAGGTAAAAACTAAACAATAGAAATGTTTATTTAGAAATAAATTTTTAAGGAAAAGAAGGAAAAGAGGAGCAGTCACTACAACCTGGTTGCAACTTTCTGCAAAGAAAGAGGTATTCCGTTATGACCTTAATGTGAAATGTTGGATCGTTTGAACACCATGTTTTGTTGGGTCCAATGTTATATAAACGAGGTGCAAAGCAGAGCGAAAATAAATTTCAATTCAAGTAACCAATTCTAATAGAGACGTGCTATCGTTTGAATCGCCAAGGGAAATCTGCGGTCATTAGCTCCACTCCTTTGGGGATTCCGTGATGGTTCTGGATCACAGCACGCTCCTCTCCAAATCATTTGTTTGTTTCTAACTGAACAAGTAGAGGGAGGTGCTTTGCTTTGATCCTAGATGACCTGCTGGAAGAAAGCCAAAGCATAAAGGTTAGTCTTAAGTAAAGTTAATGGAAAGGAAAGGGAAAACAGGTGTTCCTCAAGGTCCGGTTCTTGGTTCCATTCTTTTGGGCAATTGTGCAGATGATGAAACAAATTGGATTGAAAATATGCATAGGCGGTGTAACTGGCGTGGGAGCTGGCGCTGACACAGCGTGGGGGCTGGCGCCTGTATCGTTTATAAAATTGAAGTCGCGAGGCTTACAGAGTTGTGCCTCACACTAATCATTTTGGTAGGATCTCCAGTAGAAGCCTAATAATCGCCTTCTTTGCTCGTGCTAGCTGAAGTTTCTAAAAAGCCCACTCGGTTCCAGGTCTCTACTGTCCTAAATTGTCCACTAAAGTTCACTACTAGCCAACAGAACAAATAATTTTCATGACAAAGTGCTTTACAGAAAGACGAATAAGCGTAGAATGAAGTCGAGAGAAGAAGATTCGCTTGTTTTCGCTTTTTGTTATTTGAAACTAACTAAACTTTTAAATTAACAGATACAGCAGTGCAAGAAGCGTAGCATAACGTGAAGGACTCAGGGGAAAGACCAGAGCATTCAGCTATTGAATAACTATAAAAATTTACAGAAACCAACATTGACAAATTCCTTGATTGGTTTAAATACAATGAAATCGTTGCAAGTCCCTCTGAAGTTTAGGCTACCACAGTCGATTCTAAAGATAGATGCAGTTTGAAGTTAACGGAAATATGACACTGAAATAGAGAGTAATCTGCTTTTCTTAGGGTTCTCGATGATGATAATTAAAATGTTTATGCTCATAGATGTGGTGTATTAAAGATGTAGCAGCCAAATGGTTAAATTCTGTGAGATTTTTGACTGCGAGATTTTTGGCTTTAAAAGAAAAAGGGATGATCGAGAGTTCATTTTTTTCTATTTTGCTTCAAATATTTTCCAGGATATGTAAGAGAAACTTAACAGGAGGGTCAAATCATAAAGAAACAAGAAAATGCTCAATTCCACAACAAATACCTTTCGATAAAAGGGTTGATAGAAAATTGGGATGCATAAAAAACATCCCATTGAATACAAGGCAGATTTTCTTGCGAGAATACAGCCTGTAAAAAGCGAGGTGTCACTTGACATGGAAATAAATACTTTTTATGGTTATGTTTTTCTCTTTTGCGAATTTTGTGACTTTAGCTTTACTAAGGCTTGGTCCGCATACAGTTATGGCTGGCATTTTCATTTCAGATACCCTAACAGTTTCTACTTTTGTTAAAGACGGGCTTTTGAAGTAGCCCCGAATTGTTGGCATCACTGTCAAAATTACAAGCGATACAAAGAAAATCATTAGCAACAGCCAGATGCATCTCATTGCTTCTGACCTGGTCGACAACAATCTTCCGAATCCATGCATGGTCAAACTCGCTGCTGATTCTTTCAAGTCAATTTCTGTTCTTTGATCCATCTTTAAGGTTGTGAAGAACCTGTAACTTGTTTTGTAACTTCTGTTTGAGTGTCAATCTAGTGTTTTTTCTTCCATCACCCATTTGTCGTTTACATGTTGATATTCATTAGCAATCAGTTTTGAACGCGTTGCAGGAACAATGGTTGTGTTTATTGATGCTGACATAAATTAAATGGTAAGGATTCATCCATTTTTAAGTAACGGTTTAATAGACACTATGGGAATTATAACAATGAATAGATGATTCAAGATCTCGTGCTGGGGATCATTTGCTTTCGGTCTGATTGTTAAATGGGAATTATGTAATTACGTCACTGAATATGTCATGTACAAGAACGTCTCGTTCATGGTGGTGTATAATGTGTTAGGTTTAACAAAGAACATACTAACTGTTAAACCCGACTGTTCAATGGTAATCGGACTGTTGAAATGTTTTAATACAGGAATGTTGGAGTGCTAGGGTATTGGAATGTGGAAAACAAAAAATTTATGTCTTCTAAAGAAGATCCTCCCTTTTCAATAAGTTATCGTTCTTAGGACCAAATGCATTTATGATTGCACTTGTTTTCATTTTGCTATACAGGTTATGTACATCGCATTCCTGCACTCCGATAATTCAGAAATCTGATGAAAGCATTTCATATTTAATTTATTAAAGCTCTTCATATGACACTCTTCACAGTATATTGTTTTGGAACATTGGTTGAAAACTCTAAACTAGGAAATATATATACCAAGTTGTGGATCGAAAAAGGCCAAACAGAGACGCGAGCAGACGACTGGTGAGGTTGTCCAATCAATGCCGTTTGCCTGTAGAGAATATCACAAATGGTTCAAGAGTGAAAACTGTCCACACAACGGCAGCCTTTCAGTTGTACGTAACTGGATTCTAAAGCAGCTGGAGCAACGACCACCGGCTCTGCCAATTATCCAAAAACATGTTGCCATTATAATTTTTGTCACAATCTCGGTATCCATGTAAATATTATTCAATGGCAGAATCTCATCTTAACCATTGATTTTGAAAGAAGATCAAGTGTTAAGCTTTTTGAAACCGTTTGACATTCTTCTGTCCACGACTAGCTAGCGCGCTATTTGTTTTTGCAACGTAAAGTGACAGCTGCTTTGCAAAAAGCCATATTTCTAGATATTCTAGATCTACGTGTACACTTTCGTTAATATTCGCCAAAGAATTTGATAAAAACGACAGGCTTGTATTATCAGCATCCATGTTTACTTTCACCGATTTAAGGGTGGGGGAAGATCGTAAAATTAGTTCCAAGGAAAGATGTTCAATGGCCATTCTTCGAATGGGTTTCTTGCATTTCATTCGTCTTCCAGATTGTTAGATACCATTATGTTATGTGTTGACAAAAAATCTTTCTCACAACAAGGCCCAATTTGCTACTGGAATTGGGCCTGGTTCAAGGTGGTGACAACATTAGAGGGCCAAATCTTAACGAGGAATGAAAAACTTTAGTGGATAGAACAAGATATGCATAATACAAAAATTTACATTGTAATCTTCCCATTCCTCTTTGTAACTTTGAAGGTTAATCTACGAATAGACATTCTACGTGAAAAGCACATTTTTCAAAAGGTGAGTCGAAGCAGAGTAAAATACCATAAAGTAAAACGCTTTTTGCGAGTCAAAGCAGAGGACAACGCTTTTTGCGAAGCAGCTGTCTTTTTACGTTGCAAAAACAATTTCCGATAGTTTTCAAAATTAAATGCATTAAAATTTTATTTGATGCTGTTTTAAGCGATACTGTAGCGCGTGGTAGCAAAAAAATTATTTAGTTGCGGTGCGTTTTAAACAAAATAGCCAAAGGGACACAGTTAAATTGAATTTCTATTATAAGTGCTACAAGATTTAATAAGTTACGCTCTCGTTTCAATGACAAAGAGTTTGTTGAAATAGCAACAAGCTTTTTGAAAATATCATAATTCTGACTTCTTCTAGATTTATTGTATTTTATCACATGATTTGCTTGACACTAACGATAGATTTTATCAAATAGTGTTGTATTCACAATATGTTTTTGCCAAATGCAAATAATCTTTCAATAAATGCACGGTTGAAATAAGAAAGTATTTTTAATTTCTTTGACATTCTTTAGAACATAACTTTCTCATTGATTAAACTAAATTATAGGGAAAACAAAGAAAATGTGCTATTTCATAAAATACTGATCTATGGTTGTAATACAGCTTTTTGTTAAGATAACAATAAAAGCAAAAACAGATTAGAAATCTCATCCAAAATATTTCACAACCAACAAACATTTTAAGCTGTTTAGCATTTGAATTGGTTTCTTTTCTGCACAAAGGAAACCTCAAAAACCATACTGTTACTGCTAAATCAAAACAACTTTTAATAGGGTTTGAAGATACATACTTCTGTATCAATAAAGTCCTTTGCTTTATCAAACATTCGGCTTGGATATAAAGGGAATAAATTGATCAAATATTCAAGCATTGTAGCGCCTTTCTATAAAAGTTTAATTTTTCTTTTTTGTGAAAGAGCGAAGAAGCCAATCAGGAAACTCTTGCACCATTGACCAAACCAATCAGATCATCTACATAAAATCAACATTCGTGTTTATATGTAGATGATATCGTTGAATAAAATGCAGATGTATTAAGGCAGGTTAAAAGCATGTTGTTTGTTAGAAGCGCGAACTCGTAGTTGGAAAAATTAGCTTGATTTCTAAAACGTCTTGTTATAAAAGTGTAAGTCATGGAGCTCAAGGATTCGGCTGCGAATATGTCAATGCATGGATTTGGAAGGATATTCATTAGCAAATCGAAGCGAACACAATTCGTCTGGTTGGTGATCATGATCTGTAACTTGCTCATTTTCAATATTTGTGTTATTTCACTGTTGAGATACTATCTAAGTAACCCATCCATGACAAAAAGTGAAACGGTTATCACTTCAAAAATTCGTTTTCCCAGTGTTACGGTTTGTGGGCCTAGCGTCAGCAAACACAAACTGGAACGATTTGCAGAAGAATCCAATAAAACTATCCAGGTAGATTTTGACGTCAACAAGAAGTTCTCACACCCCTATCTCCGCAAGGAAGAAATCTTACAGAATTTATCAACGGTTGAAAACTATTGGAGAATTATACCTGACATGGAGAGTCTTTTCATGACGAATACTTCAGGATTTTGCACATTTGCCACTCTAGAGAAATGCAATTTCACAAGTGACATCGGAAGAGTACTAGTATTTTACAAAGGTGTTTGCAATAAAGTGAACGTGAACGGAAAATATTTTCAGAAAAAACCTGGTTCCTTACATGGGCTTTCATTCATATTGTTTGTTAATATATCTGACGTTGTTCCATGGGCATTGTCAAGCGAAGGCGACTCGGTGTACGTTGATATAAAGGAGTTTGACGAGCCTGTATTTCATGGTTCAGGTTCTATACTTGCATCAGTAGGACAATTAACACGAATCGAAATTAGCAAAACCCGTGGTAACCCGGCTTAAAAGTCCCTTCCATTCGAATTGCACAAATGGGAAAAATAAACCACTGCTGTTTGAGGGAACATACACAATTGAAAATTGTCATATTACATGTGCACTGAACATGGCACACAAACAATGTAAAAGCATTGACTTTCACAATAATATGTTCTTGCCGGAACATATGAGAAAAAATTCAACTAATATAAGTGAAGCAGTTGCCTGCAGCACTAGCATCTACAATTATCTGATTGACACAAACTTTGAATCATGTCACTGCCAGTTACCATGCATGGAAACAAAGTTCCACAAGACTGTTTCAACCGCAAAATGGCCGCCTAAAAACGATCTCCCAGCGTACAAAGCATTAGCAAGTGCAGCCTTTGGACTTAACAAAAGCGAAGTGACAGATGAATTTATCAGAAATAACTTCCTTAAGATCGATGTATATTTTGGTGAATTGAGCTTCCAAAAGATCACCGAAGTTGAAGAATTTACAACCGTGAAGCTCATATCTGATATTGGTGGACAGATGGGAATTTGGTTAGGTGCGTCTGTTTTTTCGATGGTGGAGCTTCTTTTCTTGCTATGGCAGTCAATCAAGTATTTTGTAAATAGAAATAACATAACCGAGGAACATCCAGATAACTAAAGCATATCAAAATCGTGTCTAGCGGTATCTTAAAGGCAATCTGTCACGACGTTGATTGATCATAAGAACAAAGGGATTTTTTATTTTTTCCAGTCCCCCTTTAATTTATCGCATTGTGAAAAATATGGCGGAGCGCTGGAATTGTGTTTAGGCTATTGTTCAGGCTATTGTTCTCGTTAACCAATCCACAACGAGAAAGATTGCCTTTAAGAATCATGGAATCGCAGCCCTGGAGAGCGCCGTTGTGTTAAAGCAACATTGGAAAATTACAAACAATAACATGACAACTTTTACAAAGTTAAGAAAGGGTATGCGAATGCATCTAAATGACAGATGTGTAAATAGATTCGTCATGTAATGGCAGAAAAGGATGGACTATTGTGGTAGAATTTCGAGTATCCCTGATATTTTCCATAATGTGATAATATTCTGACGTTGGAATTTACTTAATCTTGACATTAATTTGTACATGTTTTTTTTAAAGTTAGCGTCTCGTGGAAGGGCCGTATGTTATGTTATTTTATGTTGTTAATAATTCGTCGCGTCTTTCCATCGGTTCTAAGGAGACATCCGTAAATATTAACAATTATATCTGAAGCATAAATGCTGCAACCGTATATATTGACAAAAGCACTAATTACAAATTAATACAAAACTAAATAACGAAATCATCATGGAAGGTCATCAAGCGAAAAACTTACCGGCGAAGACAGATGAAGAAAGTTTAGGGGCTAATTGACTTCCCGACAAACAATTTTGCAGCAAACTAAGGATTTTGTGGAAGAATTTCCGACCAACTCATGAAGAATCAGGGGTGTCACATCCTCCTTTACAAGGATTTGTGTTTGTTTTTAGTGGATAATGTTAGGGAAAGGCCCCGCACACTATAACAAAGCCCTAAGCAAGTAAAAGAGGGAAAGAGGAAGGTATTAAGAAGAAAAGGGGGTACCATCAATTTTGCTGTTTTTATCTTTTGCTAAGAATATGCTGTACTTTTAGCGTTTTTCACCTTGATATTCTTGAGAAGTAGACAAACTTTAATAATTGCAAAGTTCCGATCTGAGTATTGTGGTTGTCAATTAGTCGTTAGCGAATGTAACCTTCATCTTCCATTTGAATTATATCTTCAACTAAACCCAATGTCCAAACATTTTTATAAGTAAAACTTTTCACTGTAGAATAAAACTGTCTGTAACTGCAACCATTTTCAGTGGCCCAATAACGAATAGTTAAAAACAATCCCTCTTGACTGCCTTATGTAGAGAAACAAGAGGTAAAAAAGCCAACATACCTGATACTGAAGGAATTTGTCATCCGCCTTTCAAGTGAGCATATTGAAGCAAACTGCAATAGAAATTTCGCTTTTTCACATACCAGAAACAATAACTTGCACTGAAATACATCCAATAATGCATCGAAATATAGAAACTGCCTGGCAGAAGTAGTGTCTCTCGGACTGGTATCGTTAAACAAAACTCTAAATCACTGCAATCTGTTGGGGATCAGTTTAACTTTCAGGTTCCACAAGACAGGCTCATTTTTCACATAGTACATTTGCAAGCAAATGTCGCAGTGTTGCGGCTGCATGTTGAGAATTTCATGATATTCCCTATTATCAAAGAATCGTTGTATTGTTGCATTGTACAGCTCATAACCTTGTTGATCTGGAATAAAAGTTTGGCATTTCTGGCATGCAATATGCTGGTTTCTCTGCTTATCTTTAGTTGGAACATGGACATTGCAAGTTCTTTGAAAGCTCCAGAGCTATTTAGTTAATCTTTTTTGGCACTTTGCCGTATAAATTATAGCGAATTGCAAAACTCAATAGAAAAATTACCGTATCTGCGGGCATTTTATAGTTAAAGTGACGAATTTAAGAAAACGAGTTTCGCGGCGTTTACAAGCAATAGCGTAGTTGTGCAACAAGGCTCTCGTATTGGACCTATCGTGCTTATGCATCATTTAACGTGGCAACGCAAGAGGGCTGACTGCTTTTTAGCAGATTTTCCACGCATCTAAAGAAAAATGTATGTTTATGTCATAATTCATCTTTTATTGCATTGGAATAGCAAAAGGTGCATTATAGAAGACAGTAGGTTATTAAAAAGACAACTTCGCTGAAACTTAAGACATTCAACAGGTATACTAGAGGGGCTTAGGCCATCTGCCAGTCAATGGCCAATCACAAACTACTACTAATCAATAAAGGTGATACAATCAGATATTTATTGATTGACCAGTAGTTGATATACAGATTTCTCCAGCCATTTAAATGTCTGTGGATCGCTTTTAAGGACGTACTCCGTCAGTGGCGTCGCTTGAACGTCCAGACTAGGGGGGTATGGAGGGTCATCAATAGACAAATTTACCGACAAAGACATAGATGGAGAGGAATTTAGGTGCAATTTCGCCTACTGAGAGATAATTTTACCGACAAACTAAGGATTTTTTAGACAGACCGATGAATTCTTGAAGCAGTGGGGGAGGGGGTGTTACTACCCCTATAAATCCAAATCCCCATCTGGCCAACGATTTCTTCAACAAATCGTTCAGCAGTGTACATCGGCATTTCAGTTACTTTTTTTATTGTATTTCTCCAAAAAATACATTAACGGCGATAAGATTATTCCGAATTAATCCTCTTTCTGCTCACTTCCATTGATTGAACGAAGACGGCCAAACATTTCTTCGTACTGATCTATATATTCTGTGGATGGCCATTTCGAGTGCGAAGAATAATTGCGAAACTTTGTTTCTCTGCAAGGCAGGCCACAGTTGCAAGGAGGCAAACAATGTTTTTTGTTTGCAAACAATGTCAAAGATCTTTTATTACGCGGTCTGTGCATTTACAGTTGTTTTGATGTACCAGTAATGGTACCAGTTTTGATGTTTCCTTTGTGCCAAGACGAAACCATTGCAAATGGTAAACAAATTCAAATTTTTGTTGTTTGTGAAATCTTAGCGAAACAGCCGCCACTTTACGTTGCAAAAACAAATAGCGCGTTAACTAGTCATAGACAAAAGAACGTCAAACGGTTTCAAAAAGCTTAACACTTGATCTTCTTTCAAAATCACTGGTGAAGTTGAGAGTCTGCCATTCAAAAATATTTACATGGATACCGAGATTGTGGCAAAAATTATAATGGCAACCTGTTTTGGATAATTGGTAGAGCCGGTAGTCATTGCTCCGGCTGCTTTAGAATCCAGTTATGTACAACTGAAAAGCTGCCGTTGTGTAGACAGTTTTCACTTTTGAACCATTTGTGATATTCTCTACAGGCAAAAAGCATTGATTGGGCGACCTCAACAGTCACGTGCTTGCGTTTCTGATTGGCCTATTTCGATCCACAACTTGGTATATATATTTTCTAGCGTAGAGTTTTTTATCTATGTTTTGAAATATCATACTGTGAAGAGTGTCACACGAAGAGCTTTAATAAAATGAAATACGAAAAGCTTTCATATCAGGCCTCTGATTTCTGGGCGAATAAATCACAAGGCAAGGTTACATCAAAACAACTTTTAATAGGGGTTAAAGATACATACTTCTGTATCAATAAATTCCTTTGCATCATTAAAAATTCGGCTTGGATATAAAGGGAATAAATTAATCAAATATTCAAGCATTGTAGCGCCTTTCTATAAAAGTTTAATTTTTCTTTTTTGTGAAAGAGCGAAGAAGCCAATCAGGAAACTCTTGCACCATTGACCAAACCAATCAGATCATCTACATAAAATCAACATTCGTGTTTATATGTAGATGATATCGTTGAATTAAATGCAGATGTATTAAGGCAGGTTAAAAGCATGTTGTTTGTTAGAAGCGCGAACTCGTAGTTGGAAAAATTAGCTTAATTTCGAAAACGTCTTGTTATAAAAGTGTAAGTCATGGAGCTCAAGGATTCGGCTGCGAATATGTCAATGCATGGGTTTGGAAGGATATTCATTAGCAAATCGAAGCGAATACAATTCGTCTGGTTGGTGATCATGATCTGTAACTTGGTCATTTTCAATATTTGTTTTATTTCACTGTTGAGATACTATCTAAGTAACCCATCAATGACAAAAAGTGAAACGGTTATCACTTCTAAAATTCGTTTTCCCAGTGTTACGGTTTGTGGGCCTAGCGTCAGCAAACACAAACTGGAACGATTTGCAGAAGAATCCAATAAAACTATCCAGGTAGATTTTGACGTCAACAAGAAGTTCCCACACCCCTTTTTCCGCAGTGAAGAAATATTACAGAATTTATCAACGGTTGAAAACTATTGGAGAATTATACCTGACATGGAGAGTCTTTTCATGACAAATACTTCAGGATTTTGCACATTTGCCACTCTAGAGAAATGCAATTTCACAAGTGACATCGGAAGAGTACCAGTATTTTACAAAGGTGTTTGCAATAAAGTGAACATGAACGGAAAATATTTTCAGAAAAAACCTGGTTCCTTACATGGGCTTTCATTCATATTGTTTGTTAATGTATCTGACGTTGTTCCATGGGCATTGTCAAGCGAAGGCGACTCGGTGTACGTTGATATAAAGGAGTTTGACGAGCCTGTATTTCATGGTTCAGGTTCTATACTTGCATCAGTAGGACAATTAACACGAATCGAAATTAGCAAAACCGTGGTAACCCGGCTCAAAAGTCCCTTCCATTCGAATTGCACAAATGGGGAAAATAAACCACTGCTGTTTGAGGGAACATACACAATTGAAAATTGTCATATTACATGTGCACTGAACATGGCACACAAACAATGTAAAAGCATTGACTTTCACAGTAATATGTTCTTGCCGGAACATATGAGAAAAAATTCAACTAATATAAGTGAAGCAGCTGCCTGCAGCACTAGCATCTACAATTATCTGATCGACACAAACTTTGAATCATGTCACTGCCAGTTACCATGCATGGAAACAAAGTTCCACAAGACTGTTTCAACCGCAAAATGGCCGCCTAAAAACGATCTCCCAGCGTACAAAGCATTAGCAAGTGCAGCCTTTGGACTTAACAAAAGCGAAGTGACAGATGAATTTATCAGAAATAACTTCCTTAAGATCGATGTATATTTTGGTGAATTGAGCTTCCAAAAGATCACCGAAGTTGAAGAATTTACAACCGTCAAGCTCATATCTGATATTGGTGGACAGATGGGAATTTGGTTAGGTGCGTCTGTTTTTTCGGTGGTAGAGCTTCTTTTCTTGCTATGGCAGTCAATCAAGTATTTTGTAAATAGAAATAACATCACCGAGGAACATCCAGATAACTAAAGCATATCAAAATCGTGTCTAGCGGTATCTTAAAGGCAATCTGTCACGACGTTGATTGATCATAAGAACAAAGGGATTTTTTATTTTTTCCAGTCCCCCTTTAATTTATCGCATTGTGAAAAACATGGCGGAGCGCTGGAATTGTGTTTAGGCTATTGTTCCAGCTATTGTTCTCGTTAACCAATCCACAACGAGAAAGATTGCCTTTAAGAATCATGGAATCGCAGTCCTGGAGAGCGCCGTTGTGTTAAAGCAACATTGGAAAATTACAAACAATAACATGACAACTTTTACAAAGTTAAGAAAGGGTATGCAAATGCATCTAAATGACAGATGTGTAAATAGATTCGTCATGTAATGGCTATTGTGGTAGAATTTCGAGTATCCCTGATATTTTCCATAATGTGATAATATTCTGACGTTGGAATTTACTTAATCTTGACATTAATTTGTACATGTTTTTTTTAAAGTTAGCGTCTCGTGGAAGGGCCGTATGTTATGTTATTTTATGTTGTTAATAATTCGTCGCGTTTTTCCATCGGTTCTAAGGAGACATCCGTAAATATTAACAATTATATCTGAAGCATAAATGCTGCCACCGTATATATTGAAAAAAGCACTAATTACAAATTAATACAAAACTAAATAACGAAATCATCATGGAAGGTCATCAAGCGAAAAACTTACCGGCGAAGACAGATGAAGAAAGTTTAGGGGCTAATTGACTTCCCGACAAACAATTTTGCAGCAAACTAAGGATTTTGTGGAAGATTTACCGACCAACTCATGAAGAATCAGGAGTGTCACATCCTCCTATACAAGGATTTGTGTTTGTTTTTAGTGGATAATGTTAGGGAAAGGCCCCGCACACTATAACAAAGCCCTAAGCAAGTAAAAGAGGGAAAGAGGAAGGAATTAAAAAGAAAAAGGGGTACGATCAAGTTTGCTGTTTTTATCTTTTTCTAAGAATATGCTGTACTTTTAGCGTTTTTCACCTTAATATTTTTGAGAAGTAGACAAACTTTAATAATTGCAAAGTTCCGATCTGAGTATTGTGGTTGTCAATTAGTCGTTAGCGAATGTAACCTTCATCTTCCATTTGAATTATATCTTCAACTAAACCCAATGTCCAAACATTTTTATAAGTAAAACTTTTCACTGGAGAATAAAACTGTCTGTAACTGCAACCATTTTCAGTTGCCCAATAACGAATAGATAGAAACAATCCCTCTTGACTGCCTTATGTAGAGAAACAAGAGATAAAAAAGGCAACATACCTCATACTGAAGGAATTTGTCATCTGCCTTTCAACTGAGCATATTCAAGCAAACTGCAATAGAAATTTCGCTTTTTCAAATACCAAAAACAATAATTTGCACTGAAATACATCCAACAGAACGCCCAAGAGGGCACCTGACAAAGCGCCCGAAAGAACGCCAGACACAACACCAGACACAACGCCAGACACAACGCCCGAAAGATGTCCTCCTAAAATTTTCATTTAAAACCCTGTCAACAGCTCAACTCTTTAAATATTGATAAATCCTTTCGCATTTCAAGAATTCTACAGTAAAGAAAAGAATGCATGGACCACTCATCATTACATCATTTTGAACAACTCAACGGTTAGAACTGCGATGCAAGGTCACACCAAATGGTTAAAACTCCAGCCTGTTTGTGCCTTGTCCTGATCCAATACATCATGCCCTTGAATATAATGCATCGAAATATAGACTGCCTGGCAGAAATAGTGTCTCTCGAACTGGTATCATTAAACAAAACTCTAAATCACTGCAATTTGTTCGGGAGCAGTTTAAATTTCAGGTTCTACAAGACAGACTTATTTTTCACTTGGTACATTTGCAAGCAAATGTCGCAGTGTTGCGGCTGCATGTTGCGAATTTCATGATATTCCCTATTATCGAAGAATCGTTGTATTGTTGCATTGTTCAGCTTATAACCTTGTTCATCGGGGATAAAAGTTTGGCGTTTCTGGCATGCAAAGTGATGGTTTCTATGCTCTTCAATCTTAAGTTGGAACGTAGACATTGTAAGTTCTTTAAAAGCTCCAGAGCTACTTACTTAATCTAACTCAATAGAAAATCAAGGTATAAAGTTATCTAGTTAAAGTGACAAATTTAAGTAAACGAGTTTCCCGGCGTATACAAGCAATAGCGTAGTTGTGCAACAAGGCTCTCGTATTGAACCTCTCCTGTTTTTTGCATAATTCAGCACTAGCTAGGCGACCGCTTACTTTAGATGATACTGGTATTTTGTTCTAAAATGTAATATAGGTACTTATTTCATTTTAGGTCAGTCTTGCGTTTATGCTTATATTTGTTCATGCTTCTATTTGATTAGGATATATTAGCGTGTCGCGCTTTAGTTTTTCATGTTTTCCGGTATAGTAATATTTTACATGCCCTTTTGCTCTACAAAGTTCCCCCGCGTATCCTAATATATCTAACACCTCCTACTAGTTCATTTACGTATTGCACGATAGATACCGACAATAATACCAAAAATTATTGATGTTAGCTTGCTATATTGTAATGCTGTTATATAAAGTAGAGTAAGGAGAAACAGAGTTAGTTAGAGAGAAGCGTGGTGCTTGCGAAAGGCCACTGCTATCAAACTTGTAGACACTCACTCGCACACACACACAGAACGGTCATGGATTGAAAGGCTAAGAAAGGGCTGATGGCATTCAACCCGAGTGGGTTGTGAAAGCACTCGTGGTTTCGTTTCATATATATATATATAAATTTAATGGCGTAACAGTGCTTGTGAAAGGCTTTTTAGTACCTAAGTTTCAATATTGTATAAAATAACGTCTTAGCTTTAGATGGAATAAAAGGAATTGATTTTGTGTCAAAACGTGTCGTTTATTCGCTCGGTCAATCGCTCAAACAACGAAGTTTTACAATTAAGTATCAGTAGCAAATTGTGACGTCATCCAATAGGCTTCCCCCCCCCCTAACATTTGACCAAATGTCCAACCCAGCCAATGACATATTTTCTTATTATACTTACAGCATTTATCAAATAACTTTATAAATCTAAAAATTGTCTATGAGTGATGATGCATATAAATAATGCCCAAGTTTGAAACCAATATAAATATGATACTTTTATCATTAAATAAATGACATTATTCATAACTTGCAGAAAAATGCATTTAAAGAAAATAAATTGATATCTAAACTGAGGAAAGTCGAGAAGAAATATCGTTAAAGACTCATTGCTAACAATGAGCCATTGCGATACGCAAGCATCCCATAATGCATTTTCAGACAGTCTGAAATCAATTCTGGTTAATCCGTAGAAGTTTACTGCCATTGTCTGGGTCATCGGTAGGACAATTTATCACGCTCGCAAAGGCTTATTGTTATCAATGAGTCTTTAAATAAAATGAGTTTTATATTTGATAAAAAAGATGGGTAAAGTATAGTATCTCGTGAAAAAGAAAAACAAAGAAAGAAATGATAAAATCGTTTTATTTTTGTTACAAGTTTTGAATTTCATATATTTCTATGTCACTTTTCTACAGTAGAGAAACATCATGCTAACAATAACGTCAAGATGCTTTATCGGATACGAGAATTTTTGCATTTATAATTTTCATTTAAAGCTGCCAATAATTTCTCCTTGATAAGCGTCATGGCTCCTACTTTGCACCACTTTCTTCTAAGTCAGTGACCTTTTTTTCCTTCTTTCTCAAAGAAACACCAACAAACTGGGCGAGTAAATAAACCAGTTCAAGTAACGAAAAGATTGATGCACCCAACCAAATCCCCATCTGGCCACCGATTTCTCCAACAAATCGTTCAGCAGTGTACATCGGCATTTCAGTTACTTTTTTGTATTGTTTTTCTCCAAAAAATACATTAACGGCGATAAGATTATTCCGAATATAATCCTCTGTCTCCTTACTTCCATTGATTGAACGAAGACGGCCAACCATTTCTTTGTACTCATCTATATATTCTGTGGATGGCCATTTCGACTGCGAAGAATATTTGCGAAATTTTGTTTCTCTGCAAGGCAGGCCACAGTTGCAGGAAGCGAACAATGTTTTTTGAAGATCTTTTAATATTCGGTTTCTACAATTTCTTTCTTCTACGGTTTTTGCAATTGGCATTTTCATTTCCTTCGGTAGTAGGTAGTTATAAAGAAAATGAATGTTTGTACATTTCTGAGCGACTTTTCTGAGAAAGCAGGACAGCTCGCAATTGCTTATTGTATACTCACCTTTAAAAAGCAACTCCATGTTTTCGCCGTTTGTGCATTTTGATGGATACGGGGGTTTGAGCCTTTGAATCTCTGTTTTGTGAATCTCTATTTGTGTCAAATGACCAACAGGGGCAAGGACTGTACCAGTGTCTAAAGAAGGAAGTTGTCTGTGGTCTTGAATAATCACCTCAACGGAGTCGCCAGCGTGAAGTGTAGACAACGATATACTATTCGAAACATCAAGATCAAGGAAGACTTGAAGTGAGAAATCGGGACCAGCCTGATGTTGAATGAATGTTCCATTTGGATTAAGTTTGTAGCAGTAACCTCTGTAGGCCACCAAAATTTTTTCAAAAGCAACGTTGCTGGATATAACCTTGCTTATGTTTGGTGCAAAAGGCTCTAAGGAAGGAGAATGCATCACCACCTCGTGAATGTTCTCTATGCGACCATTTCGATTTGTTTTGAGTGTAATGTTATGCTCTTTTGCATATTTTTTAACTTTTTCTTTGCATAGGGATGGTCCACAAATAGTAACAGATGGAAACAGCAGTTTAGATACCATGACTGTTTCCTGCTTTGTTAAAGATGGGCTTTTGAAGTATCCCCGTACTGTTGGCGTCACTGTCAAAATTACAAGCGATACAAAGAAAAGCATTAGCAACAGCCAGATGCATCTCATTGCCTTTGATTTGGTCGACAGCAATCTTCCGAATCCATGCATGGTCAAACTCGCTGCTGATTCTTTCAAGTCAATTTCTGTTCTTTGATCCATCTTTGAAATTTTGAAGAACCTGTAACTTGTTGTGTAACTTCTGTTTGAATGTCAATCAATTTCTGTCCTGGGATCGATCTTTGCACTTGGAGAAAGCCTGGAAATTCTACATACAGTCTTACAAGAAGAAATTAAATTTCAAGCTAGAAGACTTCTTCGATACCAGCTGAAAGAATTGAACTAAAGAATCCATGTAGAGCGTATTTCCTTAAGAATCGATCACCTGCATCTTTCATTAGTAATGCATGAATGTAAACATATTTGTATTTGCTTCTAGGACCCATAGGGTGAAAAACCTTTTCATTAAAGAAAGTAAACCTGCAATGAAAAAACAAATCGTTTAAGTTTATGAAGAATTGATCAATGGGAGTTTTATCTTGCTGATAAGAGATTGCAGAAAAGATTATGCTTCCGGCCAAAGTTTCTTTAAAATTTTTCTTTCAAATAGATAGCTCTTTTGAAGTTGTTTACAGTTCATAACTTGGGCAATTGTTCCTGAAAATAAAAATGCAAGCCTCTCTTCAGTTTTGTTTCATTGTTTACCACTAGTAATGATAAAAATATTAGTGTTTGGTTTCAAAAGGTTTAGAAATCTATTGATAATTTTGTTAATAAGCTTGAGCTTTGCAGCGCTTTGTTTATAGACTGTTTGTAGCATTATAGATAAACAAATCTTACCCGCACTACGCGCTGAGGTGTACATCGCATAAAGTTCCACATGCAGCTATCATTGCAAGGGGTCATTTAAAAAGCTTCACTTAGGCAAGAAGGAATCATGAATGCACCCCAGTCATGCGAACATCTCCCCTATGACCCCTTTTTTCTACAGGGGAGCCAGTGAGCAACACTTATCATTTCAGACATTATTCTAGCCTCGTTTATGTTTACAAATATGCGTTAGTTATTAAAAACCTCTCAAGCACGTAGAAAGCATTTTAAAAGAGAGGCACATAAAAAAGGGGGACCTCTACAAGTTGCAAATGCAATAGAAGCCTGCAAATTAGAGCCTCAGTTTTTCAGCTAAAGCTAGGTGGGTTCTAATCTAATAAGTGTCTTTATGTACTTTTAGGTACAAAATTATGTTGCTTAGGTTCCGGTATGTCATTCTTAAATTCGTGTTTTCTGATTTACCTAGATTCCGTACTGCACTACTGATTAGAAAAATAAAAACTGAAATTTTTTTTTTTGTCATCTGAAAGAGAGCCTCTTTCGATATAAGAGTCAGCACAATGCTTATAAAAGTGGGCAGAAACAATAGTTTGAGCTTACAGATTATTTCAAAAGTGGATTCTAATATGCAGCTTTTTTGTAGAAAAAGTACAAAGAGCAAAGCGAGGAAGCAGGCGTTTTTCCTCATTTCAGAAGCAAGTTACTATTAGTTTCCCAAGCTGGACAAATACAGTCAACTGTATCAACAAAGCTCTGGTATGTTTATAAAAAACTTACAAAGGTACCTCTCGAGAGAAGTTGCATGATATTCATTCGACCCTGATTTTGTCGTTTCATACAATGAGGAGCATCACACAGTAAACCATAGCAAGTTGCAAAATGTATATTATTGTCAAAGCCATTTTAAAAAAAAGAATTTGTTTGCGTTTGACGAAAATAAAGGTTTATACATTTGACTACAATGCTAACTACTGAGAGCTTCTCAATTAGTTCCATGCATTTAAAATTTAGAAATTAAGCTGTGTAGCAAACTGCTGCAATAAAATTAAGCACGAACAACAGAGGACCAAGATGGGAGCCTTGCATTACTGAAACGTACACATCTCCTATGCTGGATACAACCGAAAAAATTAGCAATTGTCAATTGCAACTAGAGAAAAACCATCGTAATTGTTTGTCTTCGCATCATTATATTTCGATGCAAACTTTTGCTGCTAATGGTGTAAAAGGCGACAAATATAAAGCTTATAAAATCAATAAATATACTAGATTGCGTGCGATACAATATAATAGAAAATAACTATGAATGTAAATAAGTTGTACCTGGAATAAATAAGAGATAATTGAATAAAGACGTTTCGAGCATACCCCATTATCAAGTGAAGGGCGTGCTCGAAACGTCGTTATTCGATGATCTCTTATTTATTCCTGGTACAATTTATTTACATTCATAGCTAATTTCTTATAAAATCAACTCTGTGAAAAGTAACTCTGACAAAATATATTTGCGCAGCATTAGCAGATCCCAGGAGTTTTTCACAGCTCTCTCCTCTAATAAGAAACAGCTCCTTTGTCTAGCAGAAATTTTATTTTGATTCTCCTGTGTTGCATTCGAATTTTCTTCTGATGCACACGATATACATTAAAAATAATGGCAATTTCAAGACGGCATCCAACGAATCGCTAGTTGACATTGGTCATTCACTGTGTCGGAATATCAGCAAGTTTTGTTTCTTGAATGTTGGTAAAAAATTTCTGGAGACAATCCGGCCACATGTCGAATGCGATACTTAAATGTTTGGAGCCTATATACGGCCTATTCAATACTTCAAACAAGATAAGATTCTATCAAATAATTGTCAATTTAGGTATTGCAATTCGGTATAATTCATCTGCCAAGCAACTCCCTGCGTCAGATGGTTTAGTGTATCGAAAACAAACACAAGAAGCTCTGTTCACAGTTGGTAGATTACAAAAAACTTCAGCCAAGAATCAGGTATGTTCATTACCTATATAAATCTACAGAACAACTTCAAATGAATAAAAAAATCGAACGATTTAATCATCGTATTATGAACTTTTCTCGACAGCTATCAAAGCATGTTTACTCGTTTGAATGCCCGTTAGATAATGGTGCTTGACATATTTCATATTTTATTATTAGCAGTTTTGCTTTTAATCGATTTATTTATATTGCATTGTCTGAAAATAGCCAAAGTTGACCCTTGCAGAATAATTTAGTGGTCCTTTGTCTTGATTAGTCACTTTAGCAAGAAGGCGACAACACCTTGAGGAAATATATCTGCATCTAAAATATAGCAAATTGGGTTGTACAGTTGGCCACTAGACCTATACCTTGCAAATGGGAACTAACAAGTAGATACGCATGCGTAGCATCAATTCACCATTGAAGTAGATATTTCGTCGAAAAAATTATGATTTCCGCCCCCTTTATATCACTGCTGGTGTCGGCCCTGATGGAACGCTACTTTCACCAATTCCGAACGGCCATGACTAACGTTTGGCTACAAAAAGGCAGTCAAAATCAAAGTTTCACGTCACAAAAAACACTTTGACAAAATATTAACCTTCTCCCAACATTTTCTCATCGAATTTAGACGAAATACAACCTTGTTCCTTCCGGGAAGCTAAACATCAATTAATAAAAAATACAGTCAGATTGTTTTCCAAAACCTTGCTTATCAAAAACTCCTGGATCTTGAACCGATGGCGCTATATAGGAAACCTTCCATTTCTTTTTTACAGAAACATTTATCCTTGATTCAGTTCAGATAAACGAAGAGTTGCGAGACTTCAAATGCCCATGCACATTGGAGGAGCTTGACCTTTCAGATTGATGGGGTGGAGGGTCATCAGTAGTAGAATGTACCGACAAATAGATGAAGAATAACAAGGTGCCAGATCATCAAACGATTTTACCCGTCAACCACAGATTTTAAAGAACAAATGAAAATTTAACTACAAACACATGAAGATCTAGGGGTGTCACAACCCCTAACCCACCCCCAATTAGCTACGCCCCTAGCCATGTAGACCAGTAATCCAAGGCAGTCAATGTTCGGAAATAGCAATAATTTCAGGTCTTTTAACATACAAAAACTTAAAGTATATGCATGTCATGTGATATATTTATGTATGGCATGTGATATATGTATTTATGACTGGTGATATACTACTGTATGAATATATAGGACATACATATAGTATATCACATGTTTTTCGATCCTATTGTTGACTCTTTCCATACTCATAATTAACTTTTATTATATTATACCGCTTACTGAAGATGACTCTAGCTAGAGTCGAAACGCCTTAATTAATAACCGATGAAGTCTTACTGATTATGCCTTTCTGGTTATACCGTCTTCCTGATTGTCAAATTTGGATTAAAGCTGGTTATGTCTAATTTGGATTATTGCTGATTGCAATGATTTATGGCGAAACATATAGATGTCTCCTTTTTTCGTCGTGCTGGCTTTTCTACTTTTTGGTATGAATGTTAAACGGTTTGAAACTGATGAAATAGATTCAAAACGAACTTGGCATCGCCAAAACCTACTTATTATATTTTTTGATGAAATTTGAAACTATAGTTTCTATATTTCTTTCTTTCAATTGGCAAAGAAAAATAGTTTTATTCTTTTATGTTTCTTTTATCAGAAACTCTTTCATCTCGATAAGAATCAATCTGGTGCAGTTGGCAGGCAATGATCGAGAGCAAACAAAAATGCAAACAAAAAACAAAAAAATTACGATGAATATTTAATAAAAACAACATGTACCACAAAAGCAGCGAGAGTATTAAAAGCAAATCGCTCAGAAAGAAGATAAATTATTTATGCAATCTTTAGGCATGCTAAACATATGTTTTCTGCATAGTTAACTGATAAAAAGTACAAAGAAATGGACTCTCTAGATTTTATGAGACCGAAATAATTATATTTTTTTAATTCAAAACTTTATCCAATACAAACATAGCTATAGCATTCAGCATTTCCAAGTTTATCGAAAAATTTCAAACAGCATTAATTTTTTAATACCTTTGACAATGGCATTATTTCCTTTTGACACAGGTGTCAAGATTGGATGTTTAGGATGGTTTTTCAGATCCTTTGTGTTGAAACTAACAAAGTTGTGGAAAGGTACCTTTGATCATTGTCATAAAGAATAGATAGATCAAGAAAGGTGAAATCAAAGCTGAAGATCCTTCATAAATAAAACTTGAATAGACATTATAAGCCCATACTTGCACAGTTGTTGTCTGATCATCAATTGTATAACAAGAAACTTGTTAAAATGACAGATAAAATGGATTTGCAAGACTCTGCTGCAAGTGCATCAATGCATGGCTTCGGAAGAATTTTCATCACAAAATCCAAAGTACTGAGGCTTGTATGGATTTGTTTCATGATTCTGTTTGTAGCCCTTTTGGCATATTTCCTCACACCAGTTTTGAAGAGATATTTCAGCAATCCATCAGTAACTAAAGAAGAAACAGTTATTGCACCAAGAATCAGATTTCCAGCAATAACTATTTGTGGGGCTGGTATGAGCAAAGAGAAACTGGATAAATTTGGCAAGCTTCATAACAAAAGTTTTGAGATGTATGACGATGTAGAAGGAATTGGCTTTTCTCGGGATATGCGTGAAGAAGACATATTTCAAAAGCTGGGGACTCATGAGAATATAAAGGGGGTAATGCCTGAAAAGGAAAAGCTATTTCTGAAAAATCTGTCAGGATCTTGCATGTTCAAAATGCAATCTGGCTGCAACCTTTCAACAGATATTGATACAATACTAGTAGTAGAAAGAGGATATTGTTTTCGAATCAATCCAAATGGAACATATTTTCAAAGTAGAGCAGGTCCAGGACATGGATTAGCAATCACTTTCTTTCTTAACACTTCAGATAAGGTACCATGGACAAAAAGCAACAATGGAGATTCCATTGAAGCAATTATTGGATATCACGATGAATACCCATTTCCTTCAATTGGCTCTGTTCTCATCCCAGTTGGACACTCAACTCAAGTCGAACTTGGAAAAACTGAAATTGAGAGACTTCCACCACCTTTTCCATCAAAGTGCACAAATGGAGACAACATGCCACTACTGCTGTACCCTGGAGAATACTCCATACAAAATTGCCAAGAAAGCTGCTTTGCATTTAAGGTTTCTGATAAATGTGATTCTCTAGATTTTTATACAAACACATCCCTACCAAAAGAACTTAAAAAACCATTCCCAAAAACTGAGGAAGATTTCCTGTGTGGCTTTAGAATATATGAAAATTTAGAAAAGACAAATTTTGCAAGCTGTAAATGTCCATTGTCCTGTTATGAAACAAAGTTCACAAAAACAATCTCCTATTCAAGATGGCCATCAGCTGCAGATATGCCAATATACAAAAAGCTCTTTAGTAAAGCATTGGGGATGAACATTAGTCAAGTGACAGATAAATTCGTAGAGAGAAACTTTATGAGACTGAATATATTTTTTGGGGACATGACATATAACAAAGTGAAGGAAACAAAAATGTACACAGCTGATAAGCTAATAAGTGAGATTGGAGGCCTAATGGGAATATGGATTGGGGCATCAATGTTTTCATTACTGGAGATACTTTTCTTGTTAGTACAGGTTATACAGTATGGCTTTGGATCAAAGAAACTTAGAAAGGAAAATGATCTGACACTTGAAAATACAAAAACATAGTTTGATAAAGTAACATATTCAGTAAAAGTTTCTTTGAAATAAATTATTGGTTGAACTAGAACAGGGGTGGGCAACCTTTTGGAGACTGGGCCAGAGCCTTCAAAGCTTTTCTTTAAGTGAGCTCAAGGTAATAAGATAAACAAATACAATAGTTGTAAAGAAATGATGATAATAATAATTAAAAACCTTCATCATTTTAAAAACTTTCATCTAAGTTTAATACAACTATAATTACAAACCTCTCTTTAACATGGATAGTTTGCAACAATAGATAAGTCTGTTACAATTGTATTTGTGCAAAAGAAGAAAAAGGATGTTATTTAGGGATTTGAGAAATCATTCTAGAAAGGAAGTGCAGAATTTTCCACTTGGCAGAATTCTCCGTTTAGCATTGGCCTTTTAGCTCAGGCCATTCATTTGAATATATGTAAACACCAGTTTATCTTATATATGTAACGGTTTGGCTTTCGTATTTAACAAATTTAGTAACGTTTCCGTTGTATTGCGTGTTAAAGTCACATGTTCTGTTAAGTCCTGTTGTGTTAGTGAACAATGCCTCTTTATCGCAATGTGTTTGTCTTTCAACATGTAGTGTGATGCTCATATTGTCCTGTTAATTAGCTTCCGTTCATGTTATTAGGTTATTAGTATGTGTTCATAACTTTATAAGTTAGTCATCTGATTGAAGCATTAGAGAAAACATGAAAGAGCGAGTATCTTTTGTGCGTTACTTATTCGGGGCTTAGGCCCTTTGGCCTAGCCCATTGCTCCACCAACGAGCTGGCTATTCACCGCCATAACAAGAAGCCTAAATGTTACATATAGCCCCCCCCCCCCCAATAGAGACATCCGTGATCCCTGCTGAACTGCCTTGAATACGCCCAATAAGTTTTGTTCTTGCTGCATTTGTTGACCTCGCCCAGTCCCTCAAAGATTCTGCTGTCCTGTCTTTAAGCAGTGTTCATGACATTGTTAATGAATTCATGACAACGGATAGTGAACAAATGATTCCCAGGTTTGATGAAGATATTAGATAATCTTTTTTTGAATCTATATTTTTCATTCAATATTTGCAACCCTTCTGAGAATCATCCTTGCCAACCAAAAAAACTATAATATGATTTTTTCTTCTTGTGGGCTACAAAAAATTCTCTTCTCAGGCTGGATTCTGGCCTGCGGGCTCTGGGTTGCTCACCCTTAAGCTAGAACTACAGTACAGAACTACAGATACTAGAGAAAACTATCTTTAGTAGGACAAGCAAATTGAAGCAACAAACAGGGACATAATGACTAGCTGTGAATGATATTTTCAATTAACCTTCAACAAGATGTTAACACTAAGAAATGCCAATTACTGAATTTCTAGCAGTTGTTGGCAACTCGTAATGCATATATGACATAAAATTGTATATGTGAATGACATTGTATTTTGAAAATCAATGCACCTGCAATGCTCGGAATCAATTAAGTCCATAACCCAATTTCCCCTGAATTGTTTCATGTGAGCGTATATTAGTATCTGGTATATTATAGTAGTATCGTATATTACTAACAACTCTCAACAGCATAAATGCAATATTCTTGTACAGTAGCTTTTCAGATTATTGGAACAGTCCCAACCTGATATTGCAGACTTCAATTGGTTTCTACTCTTTTTATATTTTTTTGGTAATCAATAAGATAAGGCAAAATTTGACTCCTGGGTCTGGGTTCATTTTTGCACATAAAAGACATTATGTAAAGTAAGACGAATTCAATGTTTCAGGTGAACATGATGTCAAAAGGCACATCTCCTTCCAAAAACCCTCTTTTTACCAAACTTTCTTTATCCCCACACCTTCATATATCACTTGAACTTCAAGCTAAAAAACAATAACACTTCAATGTATTTGTGGAGCCCTTTTGAATTCATTTTCATTCCGTAGTGCCTGGCTTCTAAAATATAGCTTGAGTTTACAAATTAAATTGCATGGAAATTGAATCTTGCGTGGGAAGAATACTAAAATCCTGAGTGTATTCTTGGACTTCTTAAGACAATTGTTATATTTTCACACAGACTTTTGAACTTGATGTTTTGCCTTTTTGCTCATAATGCAATGAAGGAGCAATTTATTTTAAATGAACTTATGTAGCTTAAAGCGTGCTGAATCCAATTCTAAGATTCATTTCTAGATTCGACCTCCCATCTCCAAGTAAGCCAACAATAAGCCAGTAAAATGTTACTCACTAAATCTCCAGCCGCCTGAATGAATGTCCACACGTTTATTCTGTTTCTCTGTTCCTCCAGAAATGGTTTTTCATGACAAGTTTAGCCTGGACACATTGTAAATTCCAAATTTTTTTGGAACATTTATAAAAAAACATACGTGCACTCCAGCCTCGTTTTCAGATTTCCCGCGCTTTCAATTTGATGCGAAGGCGCTTTTGACAGTCTTACAGTCCGGGCCCACAAGCACACATGTGGTTGGAATTATTTGTCTAAAGTGACTGGAACAATCAGAGTGTCAACGCTCTGGAACCAAGGGTACCTACACAAAAACTCCAACCTTCAGATTCGCAAAATATTACACTCCCCAAAAAACTTCTCTTTGAAATTAGCGGGAATTAGGTGAATCAAAACGTCACTGCAGATATGAAACTGGAGAAGGAATGTGTTATTTAATTCATATCGTATACAGCAACAGACGTGATAATAATATTGTTTAGGTTTTCTTGAGAATTCCCCATTGCTTATATCTATTCCTTAGATATCTTGTTAATGGCGCTGATCCTTTGTAATTAAGCACAATTTGCATATTGATAATGGCAGAAATGGCAACAAGCCTACCCCCAAGGATGAAAGAATCTGCAGATATGGCGATTCGATCTCCATCCACGCTATTTAAGACTAGTGGCGGATTAAAAGAGGGGGCAGCTAGGGGCAGTTGCCCTCCCCTCAACGAGTTGAAGCAAGTCTGGCGCCCCTTCTTTGGAAATTGTGCGCCCCTTTTGAAGGATGGGAATCAGGTGAAAAAGTTTTTGAGACCGATAAGTTAATTTTCTTCAAGGATTACCTCAAAGTTATGTTGTTTATTCCAAAAAAGGATCTGAAATTGTTCTCTTGTCATCCATTTTTGAAAATTTTTCAGCGCCCCCACCATCAACTGCCCCTCCTTCAAATTTGCTCTGGATCCGCCCCTGTTAAAGACGAATTTCACTTTGTAATGGTCTACCCCCTTTACTCTGAAGACAGGAATAAAATGTTGGTGAAAATTAAAGAGACGTATCCCAATATAAAAAATCTTAGTCATGAATACAAGTTTATTTGGATGATGAGTCAAGAAGATACTGATTTGATTCAAATCCTTGAAGGCAAGCATTCCAAAAGCGTGAAAATTATCAGACCTTTTGAAAAAATTGTGCTGATCAGTGCTGTTGTATATTTAAGCTGTTATGATTCTTGTAGCCATTTGAGGTAATATTTTAGATGTAGCAATTTTAATTATCCATTTAAAATTACGATGTTTGTTATGTTGTAGTAGATTAAGGGTCATTTCGGCCTATACATCTATCATTATATGTACATTATTTACTTCAATTACAATAGTAAAGCTGGTTGAGTTTCCATGTAGTGTAATTGGGCATTTTTCAGAAATCTTTATTTACAGTTATCTTAATTGTTTATTGATTCACTTTTTGTATGCATCGATGTAATCGAGACTCTAGAAAACCTTTTAGTAATGACAATAGCGACATGCAGTTTTTTCTCCAAAAATGATAGCACAGGATATCCAAATAAAAAATCCGATAAAAAAGGTTTGTAAATCACATATATCGAACGCTGCAATTTATAAAAGAAGTTGATCAAAAAAATTGATAAAACAAAATTTACGATAAGCAATGAATTAAAAACACTGCAAAGATTATTGAACAGAGAACAACAAATCGAAAAGTGAATAACTGTCACGGATAACATACTTTCTTCCTTGCCAGGGCAAGCTAACATCATACGTTAATATATTTCTTATTTTACCTACCTATGGGTGAATTCACCTACAAACTAAGGGACTTTTTAGCCAGCAATCCGAAAATTTAGGCAAGGATGTCACAGCCCATTTGGTAGCTGCGGCTCTATCTTAGAGATAACTACTTTTTTTCATTTTTATTTGTCAATTAATCAACTTTTTAATTGCGTAGCGAAAATTCCTGGGGAACAACAGTCCAAAAACCTAAAGGATTCTCCATTGCCTATATTCTTGAAAGCAAGACTACCAAAATTCACAACCAAAAACCAAATTTCAAGTTAACAACCAAAATTCAAGACACCATCAGGTTATCTGAGAACTTGTTTGCGACAGAAATTCTTATTATCATTCAAATCATTTAATTCACTTACAAATAGAAATCTCGTAGAATTTAGACATAACTTCGGTATTTCTTTTTTAGGTCTTCATTCAAATTTAATACTTCTACAAAACCTCTTGTCGATATTATTCATATAAATAGACTGAAAATGTCGTTTGGTAAATGGCTTTTAACAATTTATTGAAACATACAGAGTTAATGCTGAGATCCTTTCGTGGAAGAGGAGAATATTCAATATGCATAAAGTTACAACATGCATTTTGAATATAAAGAATGGTTTTCATGTTGCAAAATTTTCAATCAGTTCAATACTGCAAGGTGCTACATGAGAATATTGCAAATTCACTTTTTGGAATACACTTTTAGTGATAATAATATTAGCAAACAATTAATTTGATTTGTCTTAAATATAAAAAGAAGGCAATAAAATGTGCTATGCTATTATGGATGAGGCACAAATGTTTTGTATCAGAAATATAACCTTGAAATAGCGTTTTCTGAGGTCGATTAAATTGAAAATGCTCCTTCCCGGATCTCGTTTAACAGGAATCTTAATTTCTTCTTAAAAGGGTTAATGTTTGATCATATGACAAACATATTACATGATCACATGACATGAACACTGTCTGCTTTATTGATCAATATGGCTGCAAAAATTATTCCAAGGAGCTGAAAAAGAAAACATCGTTTTAGCTACAATGTAAGTAAGAATGTATAAATTTGAAAACCTATCTTAAATAGAAGTGAGTTGCCTTTAAGATAAACTGCGAGAGAATAAGTTCAGATTTAAAAGTAAATCAAAAGTGAATTCCCGGAAAAATTCTTCATTTTTGTTATTGATAAATTTTAAAATATCTGCAGTCATAGCCACGTCAGATCTCAAAACTTGAGATTTTTCAAAATTGCTTGCTTATCAAAATTTTCAGAAAACATTTAACCTGAATAGATCTCTTTTTTAAATTTCAGATTACAATTTTGAAATACCTGACTCATTATCTGTGATATAGATAGCCAAAATGGCTAATCACATATCTTAATCATCTTAAACAATTCTACTAATATACCTCTATTACGACCACACCACAGGCTAGACCTCCAACCATTGTCAAATTCTTCTCAGCCCAGTCAGTCAGTTCCGTTACACAATTCTACAAAAATAAGCAGAATTTCGTCTGTTTAGAAAAAGAGATGCATCAAAATGATACTTAGATTTCATGAATAAAAGTGTTTTGCAAAGTTGTTTCGGAATAATGCAGGCTTTCTGACATCAGCGATCTTTACTCTTATTGCGTTGATTACTATATGCTCTAGTCTTTCCTATTCAGTATTATAGCTTACTTAGAAAATCTATCCAATCACGTAAAAAGGTCTTGCAAGTAATAAAGGTACGAAAGTTCGTTCGGGTGGAGGCAGAATCTTAACACCTTTGGAAGCAAATTCATTGACTGTTCTATGGATTTGTTCGTTGCTTGGAGGTTACACGATACATTTACAAGAACTATCCCTTTTATCGTTTTCAGAATGACGATCTTCAACTAATTCTGCCTTTCCTGCGGAACTGCTACAGCGACTCAGTATATGCGTTCAATTTCTAATAACCAATTCTCAACTATTACTAGCCCTCAACAACCCAGATCTCTCCGGGGACCGTGGGGAATTTTAACGAAATGGGGGGGGCGCTAAACATTTTTGAGTTTACTGAAAGCTTAGAGCATCCTGATTCGGCGTATGGTTTTACGGAGTTAGGTCTTGGGAATCATCTGAGGGGGAGGGGGGTTGTCTTCTCAACCCCTACGGGTTTCGCATTCCTTGCTTACCGCAATGAGATTATAAACTTCGAATAAGCTTACCTTGGAATGGATGTGTGTTGCAGGCATCGATGCATTTTGGCATGAAGCGAAATTTGTATCAGCACAGCAACTTTTTGGCACCCTCAAGGTAGGGTTGGCTTTCACCCATTTAGATCCCAACCAATCAGTATAGTTATTTGCACCACAGCATTTGAACTAAAGTAAAAAGCACATTATGTTATCTATCATGTTTGAAAACCCTTGAAGTGTTCCGTTTACTTGAGTTATTTATTATGAGGTAAAAGATTACATAAAGGCAATCGAAGAATACTTTAAGTGGCTTAAGCCAATCAATTGCCAAGAACATCTGTCAATCAACAACTGGCCAATCAATTGCCAAGAACATCTGTCAATCAACGACTGGCCAATCAATTGCCAAGAACATCTGTCAATCAACAACTGGCCAATCAATTGCCAAGAACATCTGTCAATCAACGACTGGCCAATCAATTGCCAAGAACATCTGTCAATCAACAACTGGCCAATCAATTGCCAAGAACATCTGTCAATCAACAATCGGCCAATCAATAAGCGTGATATCACTAACACGCTTAATGATTGGCTAATGGCTGATTGACAGAAGGCTTAAATCGTGACAAACTGTTTCTAGTTACAACCACTAGAATTGAATTATCTGTAAGTCTATATGATAATTGTCATTTCTTAGGCCCAGGGGACCAGCTGTGTTCTATTTATGCATAAAATAGATTTGTTATTTCAGTGAAAGGCATATTTTGGTTAGCAAATTTTGACAATTTTTTGCGCACTTTGCGAATTCCTTGAATTCGAAAAAATGGCGTCATGGATTAACAAAATGTTGGCAACTGACTAGAAGAATCATTGGCATCCTTATTTAACTGAAACAATGAAACAATTAGTGTTTATTACTGCGTACATTAGTCTGAATGTTGTTGACAGCTGTTGTAATGCCACTCTGACCCGATTCTCCATACGTATCCCTGATTGCTTCAACAATAGCATCTGTGGCGTATTTTTTGGCCTGAAAAGGAACACAGAGAATAAACAGATGACGTAATCATTTATCACAGGGGGATCAGGAAAAAATAGAGGGATCATAGAGAATAAAGGTTCGGATATGATTTTGCTCTAGACCACACTAAAAAGTATGGGCGTCATAGAACCCCTGACAAACTCCTCTCTCTCGAGGTAGTCAATGGTATCCTCAAATTTTCCAATCCTTTTCAACACCTTAACTTGCTTTGATGCAGCAAACATTGTTTAAGGGTTCCCGAAATCAGTTATGCTATCATCCTTTACTTCTATTATTCAAATATTACATAGCATGAGCAGACGAGGTACATTCTAAGGAGAGGGAAATACTTCCAGGTGTATATTGACGGGGTAAAGCTCAATGCTTCTGTTTGGGTATGCACCTTATCAAATGAATCCAAATCTGTGATCAGACGAGTCTATAAAGCTATGCATAACCGTTGCCACTTCGTCGCTAAGCAAGATGCCTCAGCCAATCAGCACAACGTATTTCATGAATCCTCAGATGCGTTGCAGTAGAATTGGGTACTGATTCATAATAATTCTGCTTGAAAATTTCAAAGCAAACTGCTCGCTATTTACTCACTGTTGATCACTCACTACTAAATGTATTAAAGCAGGGGGACATGCCTTTACTGAAATAATTCAAAAGATGTAGTCTACCATCCAACAAACGACGTCTCTGGGGCGGGAGGAGCATATGTCTGCATCCTCCTAGTGAGCATCTTACAAAAGTGGTATCTCAATCAACGTCAATTTATTATATAATGAGATGTTTCGCATCTCGTACCACTGACAGATTTACAACTCAGTTTAACAATTCGATTTCATTTTCCCCGAGTTCTTCAAACAGATAATTACCTATACGACCCAAGAAAAAATAAAGTATATAATGAAACGAAAGTCATTGCTCTAACCAACAAAGGTTATGGTTGTTAATGGTGGTGAAATAGTTAACAGTTATTAGGGACTCACTTCTGATTTGTAGACAAACGCCAACACAATGAGTGCTGTTTCACACAACAACACGATCACGATGCATACAATAAACTGCAAAGAAATTGCCAAGTTTACATCAAGAAAAATAAACAAGATAAAAATTGTTACATATTCTCTGTTATAAGAATTTATCAATTGAAATGCCCTATCAAGATTCTAGAAGGTAGTCATGGCAGGGATCGTGGAGCGTTGAGTACAAAATGAGTCATCATCATCATCATCATTACATTTACATTTAACAACCCTTTTGGGTCATACAAATGTCTGCCCAGTCAACTACAACATTAAAATTTACTGAAGTGATTTCGACATAGGTTGTAAAAGGTATCCGAATTTGTCTGCATCACAATACTGTCTGGCAGGCTATTCCATACAGAAACGATTGAATAAAAAAATGAAAACCTAACAGCATCAACCCTTCCGAATTTAGGCTGCTTTTGGGAGGAATGAAAGTGTTTTCAATCATATAGAAATGCGACGAGTGGGGTGGGGGTACGGAGGGGTGGTGTATATTAAAGATCAGTGGAGAAAAGTGATGTCCTAGAGCATTGATACGAGGCTACTAGGCGTGCGGTATTGGTCTTACCTAAATATCATAAAATCCCTGCTGTAAGCCGTTTGCACTGGTCTCACAGTCGATGAAAGAAAGCAAGAAAATTATGTTTCCTGATCGGGTATCGCGTTAAATTTATTTTGCCATGGACCTGGTTTGTCGTTGTTAGTAATTCAGGATATGTATTCTTAAGGCCAATTTCCATTTGACATCATTTGTGCGCGCAGGCGTAGCGCCCAAATCTGAGCATGTCAAGTGGTCTCGATTTTGCGTCCGCTGTGAGCGCCAGAAAGTTGATAGGGTCTCACAGCGGACGCAAATGGAAATCGGCCTTCAGATAGGTTGGGGCTAGATAAAAATAGGAGTGTGGCTCACCAGAACTTTGGGGCCTGGTTTAGTTATTGCCAATTCGGGATTTGTATCCTTTAGAAAAGTAGGAGTAACATGAATAGGGGTGTGAAGCTCTGCAAGACCACGTCCTCTTTCTCAATGACTCTTTGTTGGGTCTGGTTTTTAACTCTATTTGGATACATACCATGATTAACATGCATTTGCTCTGTCTAATTGCTCCAACGCAGCCTAAGAATGAAATGATGAACACGATAACACCTGCAGCAATCATGATATTCGCAGGTGCAAATGGTCCTCCCTTTCCAAATACGCTGTTATAATCATTGTCTTCCACTCTCACGTAGGCAGCTAGTGCAATTAATGCCAATCCCGCAAGCTGAGGAAATAATCGTTTATATATATAAGAAATTTTGATAATATTTCTAAAGAATGCAATGTTTATAATTTCAATCTCCAAAATGAATATCAAAACAGCCAAAATTTTTTGCAGTAAATTAACTGCCTCATGAAATCAACGAAATTGCTTTATTTCAGCCCACTGTGTACATTCATTGTTTTTGCAAATAAATTTACTGATTGAATAAGAAATAATATATGATCAAAATTGAAAAATTCTAAAAATAGATTTTCGTGACGTCATCACTTTTCTTGTCATATTGAAAAAAGCCATTTTTAGATAAAACATCTTCACAAATGAACAATTCGGCTTCATCCAACAGCAAGTGAAACTTCGGAATTAGACCTTTGTTTGAAAATACCATTTTTAGGCAGACTGTTTGTAAATATTAGGCAATAAAAATAGAACAAAACTCTGAAACTTGCTTGCACATATTGTAGTATTAGTTTTGAAACAAAATCAGTTTGGTTTGAGCTGGTTTGAGCTTGTCTGAAATCAGATCATTCCAGCCAAAGTTCATTATATCAATGTTGAAAACAATACATAACATCCTAGCGATGTCACCACAATCAATGTTAAAGGTCGCTCCGTGTAAACTACTTTTCCAAGTAAATCAAATAAGACTAAAACCCTTCCAAATAAAATATGTCGTACTATTTTGGCTTTATTAAACATATCTAGGATTTAGAATATCTTCACTCCTTAACCGATTTCATATTTAGAACTTTATTTTGACTAAATAAAAAAACTTGAAAGAATCCTGTTGCCTTTCCTTTTCATCTCAAACTTAAAATGGTCCTGAAATTATTTAGGCTGATAGAATGATGCAGTTAGGGGAGACAAAGATGAGTTTTAGCTTATTTTCTGCGAAGGGCATCTAAAAATGTGCCAGAAAGAGTTTATTTTTGCTAAAAGGGTGGAGCACTTGCCTTCAATTTTTTGAGAACACGGAAAATAATTCTAGCATAACCGAAGTAGCAATAGAAATGAAACATTAGAAGTAATAAAATGCAGTGGTGATGGCGAAGCCACCTGGGGCAGTGGGTCTTGATCTTTTATGTTTTAGCAAAGTAAACGTTTTTAAGATACAAAAAAGCTTGAATTTAAGTAAAAACCGCAGATAAGAGAGACTAAAAATGCTTTCATAAACAAATAGGCCTAATTTGCCAGCTTATCTTGAATAACGAATTCACGTGCATATCAGCTTATTCAAGATGGTAAAAATTTAAAATTTGACGACAATTAGATACCACAACTTTATCTTATTGGGAAGCAGCAATGGAAAATCGCTATCTAAAACCGACTGTCGGAAAACCCAAGGTTTTGTAAAACCGCTTTACAAAAAATGTAATGCTGGGGTGTTTTTTATAAGAAAAGAATTTGTAAAATTTCATTGACACTACCGTCGCGAAGAAAGAAATTTAGAGCTCAATTGAGAAAGTGTTATGAGAAAATTTAGCACTATTCAATCTTATTCATTGAAACGATTGTCTTAAAATTGAAAACTTCCAAATGCTTTTATGTTTTATATAAAATGCATGGCGACATTTAGTGACTTTGTTGTTTTTACAGATAGCCTTCTTATTTACAATACAATTGTTTCCTTGGTTTACACTCCCATCGCCATCGCAACTTTAAATAATATATTATAGTGCCTAAAGACGGTTCATTTTGAACGTGACTTTGAATTTGCAAAACTTCGTCCAAAGATTCATGCAGATGTCCGAAAGACTCAGCCATAAATCGCTGACAAGCTTTCAATTTTTAATTTAGCGACCTGTGCTTCAAATCTTTGGCGGTTTTTAAAGCTATCTAATTGATAATTTCCAGGTAAAAACACTTTTCTTCGTGAAATGGTTCATTGAACATATATATTTTGTTATCTATTGTACTCACGGAGGATTAAGTTTGAAACACAGAAGCGGACAACGGAATAATAATGTTAGGTGTTCAATATTGATTTTTGAAAGACGACAAGCCCGCTATAAACTTGAGCTAACAAATAGGTGACACAAGAAGCAGGTGACAACTCCTCTTTAAGTTCCAAGAACACATTACGGAATGGAAAATCGTAGATTCAGTTACGCACATAAAATGTATAATACAAACTGTAGTGTGTTTGAATACAATTTACTAAGAATGACTAAAAATGAGAGTTCTTACTTACCGCAAATAAAACATTTGCGACAAACATTAGAGTTTTCACCATTTTCGTTCCACAACCCATCTTGAAATTTTACTACGGTCTTCAACACTGCAACAATTAAGTCCAAATGGCTACAAATTTATGTTCTGTAGGGAATTACTGCGTCAAGATATATAAACTTGCTTAGGTTCGCAACCGTCAACAAATTGACCCACTCTTTTCTTTCAATATTGATGAATGAGAGAGTCAACCAAGAACTTGGCAAATCCGGGGGGTCATCTATCGACAAACTGAATTAGCTTGAATCAGCTGAATTTGAAGAGCTCGTATTAGCTCAATCGTTAAAAATTTCAATTATGTGAAATACTTATTGAAATATTATATAATATTTTGAAAAAACAAAGGTGAGGGTTGAAACTTGAACAGAACAAAGGTTTTTACTAGCAATTATCGTCATGATGCATCTTGGTTGAAGTGACGTTTCTGTATGAAACATATATGAAACAAGCTCATAATACGCCAAGTTCCAAGGCGACTTAAAAGTTAGCTTAAAAAACTAATCTTGTTTTTGAATGTTAAGAAAGTAAGTGGTAACAGTTTATCAACAAGATAATTACTTTTTAACAATGATGACTTCCTAAGTTTCCGCAAAATATACTAAATTTTCGAAGAGAATCTCCGAGTTTTGTGACAATAAATAAAATTGCTTTTATATATTGTTGTTTTGTAGTTTTTGGCCCGTTTTCTTTACTCTGTGAAACCTATTAAAGCATGATAGTTATATATAAAGTATAAATTCAGCATTTTCTTAGTTTCATATAAAAAAATGTCATCATTAACTATGGTGTCATGCAAGAACCATCGAGGGAGTCTTTCAGCAGAAGTTAAAGGTTCCTTACTTTATTTGCAATGACAAAAATTTTATTTCCTAAGGAAACATTTTTTCATGAAGACGATTCTTAAATTCAAGCTCAATTTGAGCTAGCTTTAAATGAAGATTTAGCTTGCTGGTTTTTCAGGCTGGGATTTCTTCTATCCTTGCATTTTGTTTACCTGTATTTACATATATATTTATTCATTAATTATTGATTTATTTATCTATTTGTTTGAGCTAAATTTCTTAATGATGCTCAGCGAGGGGCGAATCACTCCAAGAAAATCTCGTACACCTTTCGTAAAAATCCTATTGTTTTATCTGAAAATCCCCAGAAATCCTTTTGTTTTAGGGAAAATCTCGTACGCTATTTGCAAGAGTGAATTGCCCCTCGATGCTCAGTATTTGCGTTAAAGAAATATTGTAAGTAAGACCGGTTACTTATCGGGTTTCTTATAAAAAACCAAGTGTGTTCTCAAAAGCCTCTGAACAAACAATGCATTGCGCTGAGAACAAGCTGCGCTTTTTTGTCCACAAGCAAATATTGTGTTTAGTACCTGGGCGTCTTAAGAATTGTCAAATTACCGACTTGAGTATTTTACGAGTTTAATGCATATTTTAGTCAACAAATGATGTCGATACATGCTGTAGGTTTAACTGCTTTCTACATGCATTTGACTGCGAAAAATTTGCTTCAACTAATTAAATCATGAAAGGAAGTCTTCCGTAGTATAAAGCACATGATAAAGCAAGACACACTTGTTCAGAATTGGCTTACCCCCGTTCTCGATTACACTTACTTCGATCGGTTGCCAAGGCATCGGTTTGTATAAAGTTATGCGATGAATTATAAATACGCAATTTAGCACAAACAGCGACGCTAATGAATCACCACAAGGAAACCCATTAATTCTTTGAATTGTAAAATTACAAAGAAGATTTCATCATCTCGTTGGAACCGGCTAGGCATTTTCCCAATTGCGCACGCAAGAATGACGTTCACCCAACGAGGTAAAAATAATTGTGTTCACCTCTCAGGTGGGTGTTGCAGGCCAACGGTTTTATGATAATTTCCCAGGGCAATAAATAAACAGAACAGGAGCTACATGCACCCTAGCTACCGGCTAATTTCTTCCTTCTCCAAGATAAAATCAATTTGTCATTCCCGTGTGCTTATTAGTTTACAATAAGATGTCATTAAATTGTTTTTATTACTTTTTTTATGGAAGGTCTTCTCAACAAAAGGGCTAAAGTAAAGTTGCTACGCACGTTTACATGACATCCCAACAATGACGTAATGCTTTTTTAAAGCTTGTGATTCGTACAACGATCTTCAAAGTGAACCATAGGTTGGCAAATAAATTAACTTGTCTAGACTTTGCTATTAGACATAGCAGTAGTTTTGGCCATCATAAGTTTTAGAACCGTTTGGTAGGTGAAAAGCTTGTTCACTTTTGGCTAGGCCTCTTTGTCTCAACAAATTTTTAGGTTTGTTAGTGCTTGTTTTAACATATGGTCCAAATTCAAAAACATAAAAAAACATTTAATGACGTCAACACTAAGTCCCTCTATGGCTTCTCCAACCCCAAAAATTCACAAAACGAGAGGCATGTCACTCTTCCGAAACAGCGCAGGAAAACTTACTAAACAAATACGGTTTTTGGGGATTCTTCTCGAAAATAGAAGGGTTTTTGCTAAAACCGTGTATTGATGAATGCATTCCTTGACAATTTTGGAACAACTGACAAGGGAATTTTGAACAACTGACAAGTTTGGTGTCAGATTCAGGCTGGCTTATTTTTAATATGGTCTCTTTCTGAATTCAACAAGATTTTGCTACGTCATCAACAATTTTTCGGGGAGGAGTGCCAAAGCTGATTTGCAAAAGAAACATGATAGAAACACGACAGGCTTTGTTAACTCCAAAGACTTTGCACCAATAAAGTTTTAAAGTGTGACGTCATCAAAAAAACCTATTTTTAGGATTTTTGAATTTTAACGACATAACATAAAAGATCACTAAGAAATACTTCCAAATGTGCAAAACGAGTCAAATATGTCTAAAATCGATTGAGATATTGCCAATAAAAGATTTCAAGTTTGCTAACGAATCACTGTAATTTTGGCTCTGTCCATAAAGTTATGAACTAAGACCAAAATACAGAGGTTTGATGGGGAAAGAGCCAATACACACGCGGCCATATCTCAGCCAATTCACGACACATTTGGCTGATTTTGCCTAATTAGAGGTATTTTATGATGCTTCTTCAGGCTATGGGAATCAAATTCAAAAATTCTAAAAACAGATTTCTGTGACGCCATCACTTTAGAACTCTATATTTCTTATTTGCACATAACTTTATACAAAAATTTAACTTTGTCATCTCGATTTTTACCTATGCAGTAAGGGGAATTTTCCCCAATTTTGTTACAAATTTATAAACTTCACCCCACTTGCATCGACGCCAACAGACTTTTTTGGGGTTGTAGGTTATTCCCGTTATTGTTTCATATTAATTTAATATGAGTTCATCAGCATATTATTTCTTTCCAAAAACAGAAAGAGAATGCTTACAATAAATGTAAAAACAAAAAAGAACGCTTAGAAAAACTTTTTATAAATGTCAGCCATGAATTGAAATGAAACCCGACCATTAAATTATAGTTGATAACATGAGCCAAAAGCAAGTTTTGCGACCTGCCATTGGTAACATTATTAGGGGAATATGAACGAATTTCAACAAATAACGGGGCAACTAGGGTCCATTTGTTCAGATATTTAGGCACGTTAGACAAAACCAAAATCAGCTTTACCTGGCTGAGGAAGCATGGAATAATGAGTGGTTAGTATTTCCCAAAGTTCCTCTTTCATTTTCACCGATAACAGAAATAAAAAAGAAGTCAGGTGATTAAGATTAAGGTGAACTGAGATTAAGGTGATGTGTCTTTATTAATATTGTTACGTTATTAAAGTGATTGATTGACAATCTCGAGACGAATAATTAGTTCCTTTAACAGGAAGGATGAACTGAGGTGTTCTCCAAGAATGAGACCAATGGAGTCATTGAAATACTCGATGTAGAGAGTCACAAGATCCCAATTACGCATTTTTGTTTCATTTCAAGGATAGTGGATGTATCTAGGATACAAATGGATGATTGAAGAATGTATTTAACATGACTGGCCTTCAAAGAACTAGTTTGGCATTGATACAAAGGCCTCCTTAGCAAACATTGATTAATAAGGCTTGTAGGCCGAAATTAATTAATTGATTGACAAGAACGTCAAGCAGCACTATTCCTTACTTGCATTTTGCATCCCGCAGTTGAGTGCAAACTCAGTCACAGTTCATCATAGACTTGCAACAGGTTTACATGCTTGGGTCGCCATAGTGAAACCTGGTCAGCAATGACCACTGTAAGACCAGAATTAGCATATGTTATTGAGAGGTGTCCGTGGTTTTGATATTACGTTTATGAGCCATTGACAACAGTAAAGGATTTTTGAGACAAAATTATTTAACTGTTTTTTGGGACTGTCCTTTATTTGGAGCAATTTCATGGAGAAATAGATTTCCTCAATGAGCCTCAGTTTCGCTACAGTGAGGCAGTAGCGAAACGGAGGCTCATGGAGTAGTAAGTCTAATGGAGGAACTGAGAATTTCAATAGTGCTGAAAATTCGGGTTACCATTTCAAAAAAAGTGCAAAATTACGTTCAGGTAAAAATACATACTAGGTTTAACGCCCTAGATCCTTTTTTGCGTTAAAATTCTGTGGGATAATCCGGCGCAGTGGGCCATGGGCTGCCTTTGCATAATTCTTGTTGTGGAAAAACGGCACGAATGTATTTCCATGGACAAGCACCCGTTATTTTGAAGAAGATAGAGAAAACTTTAGAAGGCAAAAGAAAAAACTTCGGAGAGGTGCTAATGAATTCTGTTATTTTAGTGAGAGATCATTTATCAAATTACTAAGTTAATGCATCGACCCTTTCAGCGCCTAAGATAAGAACACCAGTCTAGAACAGAACTAGCTGTATTCTGAAGTAAACACGTTGACACAAAATGTACAAAATTTGTGTGAAAGTAGGAGATAAAATTATTTAAATGAGCACAGGTTTTTAAAAGTTTGAGGTAATAAAACTATCGTTCCTCATTAAACTCAACTACTTCTATGGCATCTCGTTATTCTCCTCTTGGGCTGGGATTTTTCACCCAAAAGCTAAATACAATAGAAAATGCAATTTAACGAGGGATATACTGTGGTACATGATAATACAATCAGCAGTAATTTTGTACATAGTAATTGAATAATTGGTAAAGCCAAGACTGGAAATTCTGGTCCAATTAATCTTTACAAAATGAATCACTGAGAGATATGAACCACATAGAGTAACAAATCACCTTAAACTACAGGAAGTTATTTAGTGACAGGAGCATAGTTCGAATATTGAATTGGGCTTCATCTATACAAATATCTTTAGAAAAAGTATTTTAATGTGAGAATACGCATATAATTGCGATAAAGGCGTTGTAAAGCTACTGAAAAAGGGCTTCAAGAAATTCTTAAAAACAAACCAAACGCAGTTCAATGTTAGTTGACCTTTTACGCTTAACACCCCAGTATAAGTAAAGATACATTACCTCTCTGAAATTGGAAATTATCGTTGATTTAAAATTTGTGTTTAAATGTCTCATATATAAATCAATCACCGGTTTCTTCAGTCTAAACAGTGTTCGAAATGGATTCGTAGTGACCTTTTCGTGTGAGCCAGCAACATTCACAGTTTACTCGTATACAGTTATTGCTAACTAAAACTGATCCTCTAGATTCTGCGCCAGGAAAGCTGATATTGCGTCTCTTGAAGAACGTATGGTCAGCCGATACATCTGAAAGATAGGCAAAATAGTCATACGTATTGGCATCAACGATTGGATGTATTAATTTGATGAAAATGACAAACAGGCAGAGAAAGCTCGATCAGTTTAAGAGAGGGTCGAGTATGATAATCAATGTGAGAGCAGTGGTGGACACTTGGGGGGCGAGGGGGGGCGACCGCCCCCGCAATACTTTAGAGAACAATGGTCTTTTGTTCTAAAACAATGGGAAATGTGACGTCATCTTATTAAAACAATACGCTTGCCCCCCCCCCAATATTTGACCAAGTGTCCGCCATTGTGTGAGAGCACAGAATAGGAAATAGACAGATAGGGAACTTTCGTCGGTTTTTTTGCTATTTTCGAAGCCTGAGTCGCCTATAGAGTTTTTTAATTACTTTTTAATCTCGATTTCATTAGACAGTTATTGCAAACTAAAATAGCCATGACAAAATATCATTCATTAATCAGATAGTAAACGAATTATGATACATAATTGAATTTGTTTACTATCAAAGGGCATTTCGTCTCAATAAAGTTGTCTACTTTCATTCTTTTTTAAATTTCCCCGACAGATACTACTCGCACAGATACAAACAAGCCTCGTATAAGTTAACGCATGCGCTAGCATTTTCAGGCTTCACCTAATGGGCAGGAGTGCCCCTTCTGCCTAATTCCTATTCTGTGGCGAGGGTTAGCTGTTCCCTGACAATGCCAGGTTTGAGCATTTAAATTTTCGTGTACAGGCTTTTAATAGTTCATACCGATACTGTGTTTTTATACTCATCGCATTGTTGATGTTTTTTCGCAAGATCATTACATAAAAACAAGAAAGTAAAAAAAAACACTAAGAAAAATTTCCCCCCTATATCTTATGATGCAAATTTAGTGATTGGCTTGCCTGAATTATAACCAAGACAGAAGAAATGTATCTTCCTGTTTTTTTTCGCAGGAAATTGCGAAAGGTTTGTGTTAATATAACTTTATTTTAAAGTTTCAGCGCAAATCAAGTTTCAAATGAAATTTGGTGCAGTTGACTACGAGGCACATATATGTAGAAAAACAGCTAGAATCTAATCTAGTGAAAATGCATAAAAGAAGATGAAACTCACGTTTGCTTGTTTATTTGGTTCTAAGCGGAGGAGGCTGCCAGTCTGAAACGAGGTTGTATGAATGACACCAGCCAGCACGAAATTATCCGGATTTGGGTCGATTCCTTCCAGCAAACTCAGGCCGGTTCCGAGAAGCTGTAAACAAGAACCGGTTTGATAAGTACATACAATAAAAAATTAGAATACAAACATTCAGATCAATAGACGATTTTTGACTTATATGATCCATCACTTTCTCTCCTGAAAAGTTCCGAGAAGATACGAGTATATAAATACACCGGAAAAAATTTAAATACAGATATAAAAATCGATAGACAGATAGCAGTAGAGAAATATATCTTAAATAACTTTTTCTCTTCTAATATGTATCATTTTCCTTCCTAAGAAAAGCTCCACGAAGCTATAAAAAGGCAGTTCACTTTAAAAACAAAACTCTAAAAGGAGTTCACTTAAGGATAAGTGAAACTGACTGAAATCACATACTTTTGTAGTTGTGGCTTCTCTGTCGATCGGGAAGGCAGCGTTGAAGATCCTCTGGGCTTCTTGTTCAGGCCTATCAGCAAAAATAAATGTTTAAAAACAAGGACATTACCGCCAGAACTCAAACAATTCATTTCACCTTGTGTTCAAACATTTTTATGCGTACAGAAATAATACTTTCAAAGTTTGATCAATGACAGCTACTCCATATTTAATTTCTTATAGTATACTTAAAATATTTCATACATTTTACACCATTAGCACAAAAGCCACTTTGAGAAGTTACGTTACACAGGAGATTGGGTCTCATATGATGGTTTGTTGAGCATTGTATACATGGAAATAATCATTGACACTACAATACAATAAAACATCCAAAACTGTGCTCAAAGCCTTTGCACTGACGGAATCCCAATATTTTCGATTCCTAATTTGTATTACTGTATTACTGACCAGACTTATTGTAAATCAATACTAGATGAAAGGACGTTTGTATGTATAAATAATTACAAGCCAGAAAGATAGTTGGCTTCACAGCGGAAATCAATCAATATAGAACGTCTAAAGTGAAATGAATCAGTCTTCTTTGTAACAAATGTTTTAAGGGCCTTATCAATATTGGGCCAAAATTAACTATACGTTCTTTAAATTTGTTGTTTAATTATTGTACCAAAACAGCCGTGGAAAAGGTTTTGGATTTAGTTACAGTTTGAACCAAGAAAAGGCATTTGATAACTGCAGACTTTTGATTCTGATAAAGAAATATGTATGAAAGTTGCTAGCCTTATTCCCGATTCCAATTCTATGTTTTAGGCCAGGTCTACAAGGATACATTTTATAGAGCTTGTGTTTTCATCAAAATGAAAACAAATTGTACGTTAAGGGCCTACATGAAACGATGCAGTTTCAGATCATCGTGAAAGGTGTTTAAAGGCAATCTGTCTCGTTGTGGATTGGTTAACGAGAACAATAGCTGGAACAATGGCCTAAACACAATTCCAGCGCTCCGCCATATTTTTTACAATGCGATAAATTAAAGGGGGATTGGAAACAATAAAAATCCCTTTGTTCTTATAATCAATCAACGTCATGACAGATTGCCTTTAAATGTATGCATTTTCAGTAACAGATTTATCGTGGAGAGGGGGGATAAAATCAAAAAGAAGCATTGCATATTTGAAGATGTATTCGTGTAGTAAGGGCTCCTAGTAATGTCGGTTATCTACTTGTGTCAAAATCAGAGCCGGAAAAGAGAAGAAATCTGTAGACACAAAGGAAAACGAAAATACGATCGGCCTGGGCGTAAAAATGACGTCATTAATCTCCACAAACCGACTAAGCTGCTTCCATCTGTTAAAGAAGTCTTGCGCATTCATTGAGGCACCAGCAGCAAACTTGACTAAGAATATCGGTAGCTTGAGAACGATTTTATGAACGGTTCCAGTAACACTGCGGAACGAAGAAGAAACATTGATGAATGATTTGAACATTGTGTTAGTTATATAATACGCTGAAAGCATGCTGTAGTTTATAAAACGTTGAAAATCCCCATGGAACAGGAACATTTTGATTTCGTAGACTGGTTGAATATGGCAAATGGTTTCCTAGTCCTTAAGAAAATTAAAAAATGTTGAAAATTTACGAAGAAAAGAATGGTATTATTAAAACTGTCCGCGAAAATAAAGCAGAACATTCAGCCTGAATTCAGGCTTTTTATTACTTTATGCTAATTCCTCTTTCTTAATAAGTCATTTAAGGTTACTGCCTGTTTTTTTAAATGATTTGACTGCTATGTTGCTGAGTAATGCGTTCTGTATATAACTTATTTGTACTTTTAGTTGACTTTTCGATAAAAAAGCTGCAGAGGTTGTGGCTCTCTGTATTCAAAGGATTGAAAATAAAGCAGAAGTCAAATTTAGCTACTTGAATCCTAACGGAAGGTTGAATGGTTTTTACAACAGGAAATTCCGTTGATTGCCGTATCATAGCTTTGAAATTGTGCTATTCTGTTCTTGGAAAACACACAGTTAACGTTAAATGTTCTTAAATTTTGCATCGCGTGTACTTTGGAGATTTTGAATTTCTGAAAAGTAGATGTTTTACTGACATTTTGAGGTAGATCACTATGATAAAAGTTGTTAACTCATAGCATTGGTTATTTGAACAAAAAATCCTCAATTTACAAGCATATCTTTCAAGAGATGATGTCTTACCTGAACTGAACAATCAACAATGGCTGGTCCGCAAAATCCGAGAGACATTCACATTCAATGCCTTGTTGTATTTGTGCACCGCCATCAACATTCCCCGGAACATCTTGACTTACTACCAATAACCCTGCTCGTATTTAAGGAATACCTAGTATTGTTACTAAATTTATTCCCAGAATTCAAAGCTCGAGCCTTATATTGTTTAACTGCTTTTCAAGCCAAACAAAATAATTTGACCAAGATTCCTATAGGCAATAGGGCAGTTATTCTTCAGAAGGACAGATCGATGTATGAAGATAAGTGGCAATAAAGAAGAACAGGGAAAAAGAAGAGGAGAGCAAGATAAAAGAGCAGAAGTAACGAGGAGAGACTGAGTCGATTCAGGGTTATACAATACAAATTAAAGTGAAACAATAGCATGATGACCAATAATGGTACGAGGGTCAAAACACGTCGAAATGTAGTTAATACGGGTTATAACAAATCTCACAGAAACGAAAAAGATACGCGACTTCAAATTGTCATCAAGATGAACAGCAGTGGAAAACGCAGTCAACGAATACGAGGTCTTGTTGCCATAGAAAACCCTTATTTGACCTGCAGAGAAATTTGATCGCTAAGTCAAACTTTTAAAACTTTGTGGAAAGGGTCAAAAATTGCTCCCAGGTAAAGCCAAAGTTTCAAGAAAACAGTGATAAATAAAATGCAAATTTTGAAGCATTTCTACGTTGTTTAAAGGAAGAATATCAAAAGAGACAGTGGAAAATTCTGCAGATATTTCAAAAACAAAATCCAATTCAATATAGGCTGCTGAAAAAGTTAGAAGAGTGATGACGTCACAACCGTAAATACGCAAAAACAGTTTAATCCGTTACAAATTGGCTGGGACAGGGCCGGTGAAGACACGAATATTGCTACAGGATTACTGTTATTTTGATCTGATTTAAAATATAAAAGACAAGACCAAATTTAAGCAATTTATTTAATGACGAGTGAGCCCTTGCTCATTTGACTAGACACCAACCAATTTGGCCTGAATTCAATTGTTTCTTCACATTGGGAGCTATTTGATAATATCCTTTGCCCCTCCACTTTCCAACCTGTGTCGGAGCCCATGTCTTGATATGATCTTAAAAAAGCTTTAATGACGTCATAATTCAAGTCAATACAAACCTCGGTTTGTCTTATACTCTGACTTGATTCCAATTTGGATAATTTCATTTTCAAATAGGACACCATTGTTTTTACAAACAAATCTGAAAATATAAAAAGAAAGTTATTAGAAGACCTTCCAAATTGCTTATATTGGAGTGTACTCCTAATTTAACCAAGGAATTTGCTTTTTATAACTAATATCTTAGTAGCTTTAATGTTATCTTTTGCAATCATTAAGACCGGCTTCCAATAGATTCGCTCTGGTCGCGCGACGTTGGCGAAAGCGAATCAACAAACCAGCGGATCGGCGAACGCGACCAGTCGCTCAGTGGTTCAACTGAGTTTAACTTTGCGTTTATTTCCGACCTTATGTTCTGAACTGAAACATGCGGATGATGCGGGGAACTGACAAAGACTAACACTATCCTATTCAACATAACGAAAAGATGATGCTTTCTAACAATGGTGCGATCTTTAAAACATTTCAAGAACCATAACATCATAATCTGCAAACTTCTATCTTTTTTTGCTTTACTTTACTAGCTGTTACACACAAAATATTCGAAATCGTAGTTATTTTTAGATTTACCTAATTGTTTTAGTTGAAGTTCAAAATATAGGCCCTTTGTAAATGTCTGAGGGAATATTATGGAAAAAAGACAAAAAGAGAAATTGCCAACACGCAGACTAACATTACAAATGAGGCTTGGTTGACAAATAAAATTTCACGAAGAAACCTGTCAAATTAAGAATCTTATATATTTCTCCGCCTGGAAAGAATCTTGTATACATGATGGTTAATGAAAGAAAAATGGTCTGGTCTTAGGTTCTTGAATTCTAAGGTTCATTTGTGACCTAGCAAAATGACAGCAACAAACTTTTCTACCTTGATCGCAAAGATAATTATGATCTAAACCTTTTTTTTCAAGAAACTACTATTTCTGGTAAATTTAATTCAAAAAATTACTTACTTTCTAACAGCTTGATCAGCCCCTGGAGAGACGACAATATTTCCACCAGTAGGTATGACCGGTTCAGGTGGGGTGTCGAAAATGTCGACCAGAGCAGTCTCGGAAGCAGGGGGAGCTGGAGCACCTGTTAGATAAAAACAAGAAAGTTAGAAAAATACCGTTTATCGCCAAGCAACCCCCCTCCCTTTCTCTTCAGCTCCACATCGAATGAACACAGCCTGATAATGTTAAAGGCAATCTGTCACGACGTTGATTGGTTATAAGAACAAAATGATTTCTATTGTTTCCAGTCCCTCTTTAATTTATCGCATTGTAAAAAATATGGCGGAGCGCTGGAATCGTGTTTAGGCTATTGTTCCAGCTATTGTTCTCGTTAACCAATCCACAACGAGACAGATTGCCTTTAAGTCCCGTCGTTGGAAGGGCATTTATAGCAAAATATGGATATAGTAAAATAAATAATTGGAGATCCATTCATTGAGCTCTTTCAGTTTCCTGTAAACAGGAAAGTTGGAAAGTTTCTCTTTTTTAAATGCCACCGCGAAATAACACACCCACAAAAGTATGGTACATTTGAAGGACGCCCAAGACGCTTCTTCGAAGTAATGCGGTCTGCCTAACCGGAAATCTGCATACATCATTTTCAAGAATCAAAAAACTCCACTCAAACGCTAAAGCAAAAATACTTAAAAAATGGAATAATGTTATAAATGAAGATAAAAGAAACCATAAGTCAAAACGCCATTTCTTAAAGTAATATAAAAAGTGACTTTTAATAACATTTATATGCGTAATATCATCTTGCTCAAGACATGGATGACTCAGTTGTTAGAGTCGCTGACTACAGACCCAAGGGTCCGTGGCTCGAGTCCCTGGCATGACCAAACTTTCACCCAGAGTGAGGAGGAGAGTTGCCAGCTCTCTGTTATTCCAGGCGTAGGAATCACGAGGTGTGGTCACATCGAGGGCAAGGATCAGGACACACGAGGTGTGGTCACATCGAGAGGAAGGACCAGGACACTGCTCGATAAGCATAAGCTTTTCAGTGTCCTAAAATACTACCTTCGGAGGCTAGGTAGCAACAAATACAACAGAATACAACTACATAATTACATAAAACAGTGATAATTGAACAGTCATTTCATTGATGTTATGAAACAAGCTTATAAAATCATAAATTAAAAATGCATCCATTTGGCACCTCTTTCGTCAATCTTGAGTTGTAAAAAGAGATCAAGCATCAAAAATACAACTGTAGTAACAAAATTGAAATATTGAAAATAGAACGTTATAACTCACTGATTGGAGGAAAAGACATCGGTGGCATCTAAAAAACAAGTGATTTTTGTTAGATAAAAAAGATACCATTTGAAAAGGAGCAACCAGGGTGGCAAAGACCTACGCAATGGGCGACATTACGTCAGAGGATTAAGCCAATACCGGGGGTGAAGCTACAGCTGCGGGTTTGGACTGAAAATGAACCATTTACACGTCCTTAAAAGATTCCATACTCGACCATTTGCATAGCAAAAAATTGAACATCAAATTTAAATTCTTCCTCAAGTTCTTTGATCGATATGTCGTTAGCCAACATAAAACGATTTTGTTAGGGTTTCAAAAAATTTATGAGAAGATTAAAACACAAAAATCGCTTTTTGGAAATAAATTCTCTATTTAGGCATAAGGATTAAATCGAATTTAATAGAAAATAGATATTGAAATATGCTTATAAACCTAACCGCATCAAGGAAAAATACGAATATCATTTTCCTGATAATAATTGATGCATACCCTTATTGGTGAGGTCTGTGTTGTGACAGGAGGTGATGACGAAGGAGCTTCAGATGGACCATTTGATGCAGTCTCCTCTTCCTTTTCCTTTCCAATAAGAGCCGCTCCACCCTTCTTCTTCTTCAGCTTTGCTAGCAATGATGACTCCCTCTCTGGGAATGGGGGCATTTCTTCCAGTACTGATTAAGAAAAAATTAACAATTATAGACATAGCAAATATAAAAATTAGATATCTTTGTTTTAAATCTTCTAGTTGCGTTTAAAAACACGGATAAAAGTAATTCTAGTAAATATGTCCCGTAGAGTTTCTAAAGTGCTGCCATTTCAGAAAGTGCTGCCATTTCAGAAACTGCTGCCATTTAGCTTGTCAGTTGTTTGTTTATATATAAATACTTAAAATAACCATACAAAATTGAAATTTAAAAACACAATAATTAGCAGTTGCTTTATTCTTAGATGATATTCTAAATACCAAAAAAGCTTACTAAACTGATTGCGAAGCTTTGCTGTAAAAATACACGCTTTAGATAGGAAACAAGCATAAGAATCTCCGCCTATACCAAAAACGTACAAGCCGACTCTGGAAGTCTTTTCTTTGGCAACTGGAAAAATAGTTTCATCTTTGCAAGGATTTACTGTAAATTTATACACTATATATCTATAGAAAACATTACATAGTAGAATCACTCACCTGTAGCTAAGACATCTTGGCTGGCAATTGAACTCAAACGTAAATACTCCAATGCTCTTTGCTGTAATTCAGTATCGGCATTTCGAAGATTTGTGTCACTTCTTAGGATCTATAAACCAATAACATTTTACATCTTACAGAACAACAAATACAACGGCGTTACTGGAATTAAGGATCCAGTTCTAAGATCTTCAGAAGAAATCATTTATAGACAGTTTTACAGCTCCACTGTCGTTTACCATCCAGCTAAGCGTCTTTATACAAAGGCGCGAACATACTACAACCGGATCTCTATATTGTTCCATTGCCTAGATTTATTGCTCTCAAACCCTTTTTACGAAAACATCACATTGAAAGTTTGGCCTATGAGGCTAAATAATGAGGTAAATACTTCGGGGTCATATCACGGGGAAATATTTTAGGGGACATCGTGGGGTCTAAATCCGTTGCAGTATATATATCAAACTTAATTATTTTGACTACATAAAATGGTAATTTTTTATATCACTAAACACTTGTATATTAAAAATACCACGTTTTAATTTCAATTCTCAGCCCACTTCAATAAACGCAGGGGGTACGTATGCTAAAATTCCGACTTCTTAAAGACCTTCCTCCTGGCACTTTATTCGAACATCAAATGCACTCACTGATTTATATATCGAACACCTTTGCCTTTATCTAATAGAACTCCATACACTTTCCGATACCTGTTGAGTGCAGATTTAGTTCCAGCTTCGAGTAGGTTCTAGCATTTTTACATAATATGTTTGTTCAGATGCTTTGGTTGGAAAAACTTTGATTGAAGAAATTTTAGATGCAAATAAGTTTGGTTTATGAGAATATACTCACCTCTTGGATATGTCCTTTGATTTCTGGGAAAAGATTGATAAACTTTATGTACGCTGAAAGCAGGAGAGCTTTCGCTGGCACGGTGGCTAATGGGAACTTGCCGTGAAGAAGCTGGAACTGTACCATCGGGCTAAGGGATAAGAAAAAGGCTAGAATAAATATTTATTTTCCTTACCTATCCTTACCTATCCTTACCTTTCCTTACCTCTCCTTTTCTTTCCTTTTCTTTCCTTTTCTTTCCTTTTCTTTCCTTTTCTTTCCTTTCCTTTCCTTTCCTTTCCTTTCGTTTCGTTTCGTTTCGTTTCGTTTCGTTTCGTTTCGTTTCATTTCATTACTTTCATTTATTTCCTTTCCTTTTCTTTAACATTCCCTTTATTAAAAACACTCTCACAATCCCTTAAGCTGACGATGAATGAAAAATATCCACGATATTTAAGACTTTCTAGAAAGACAAAATATTTCATATTGGTTTGCCATAATATAATTTCGTAAGATTATTGCAACTGATTTGTTTCAAAGAATTCCAAAGTTGCTGTTTTACAAAGCATCACCAGTAACGAAATGGTATAACTATATTGGAACATTATTATAACTATATTATAACTATTTTGGAAAGACATTCCAAACATAGAGACATACAAACTAAGGCGAACACCAAACAACAGCCACTTCAAACAATGGAAACCTCCAAGCAATGGACAAACAATTGTACCCTTGCAGCCAAAACCATGAAGAAGATCCCTACAGACAACGAAGATCCCCAACTCCAGACAATACATTCGATTCCAATTGGTACCTATTGTGCATACTACTTTTCCTATCGTCATATAAATCCTATCGTCACATTCCTTGTTTTGTACACGAAGCGTCTAAAAACAATCCTGGTTTCCTACTTAGAGCCAAACAAAGTTAAGGTACCAATTTAGCACTTACCTCGACCGAGGATCCCCTGCAATCAAGTTCCCAAATTCTCCTAAGATATATCCACCAACTTTGACCATGTTTTCATGGCAGTCAGGTAGCTGCAATGCCTCGAATACCGTTTTAGCAGCATAACCTTGGATGTCGTCTCTGTTAATTATAACTTGAATGACACGATACCACACCTGTAGATGATAAAATACAGAACGGTGATTTCAGTGAACATATAAAATGCGGACTATCTAGAAAGGCAGAAAGCCTAAAATTACAAGGTCATTAAAAACAATGTCTTTCGGTATTTTCAGAAGTGGACTTATATTACAATAAAGAGCTGATAAAAAGTATAAAATTCGCGACTGTTCGAAGGTTGCAATTTTAAAGGAATTCTTCTAATCTGCTTAATCAAAAGTTCACATATTTTAAAAAGTGAACTGCCGAATAAAAAGTTCTCAGATCTTTTAGGCGATTAAAGTAAGGACTTAAGCGGTGAAAAGATTCGAAAATTGTAGAAGGCAAGTTCAGAGACACAGGGTAAGAGGAAAAACAGCCTATGAAGAAGACGCGAAGAGAGTTTTCAAGAAAATACATTCAAAATATTAAAAGAATAGCTTCTAGGGGAATGACGTGATTGGAGAAACTATTTCTTTAGCTGACTAAGAAACCACGAGTCTTTTGCATTTCATACACGTGTTTTTGCAATGCAACAGACTATTGCAATGCAATGCAATGTTTAGACAACTGCAACGCCCCATATTTTTGAAAAGCGATTTGCATACATACCTCTTCGCCAACAAAATCTCCACCAACTCTGATCAGCTCAAGAATAGTATCAACATACCAGGAATAGTCTGTTGCATATTTCTCAGCAAGAATTGCAATTTTCAATACCTAAAAGTAAAGAAATACCGAGTATAGTAACAGAAACTAAATAAACTCGAAAATAATTGAAATACAGGAAAAAGTTAATAAATTTAGCAAAAATTCTAGGCCTTCTCCTAATTATTTCTTAGAAATGGAAGATCAAACTTGAATCTTGGATCTAAAATATGCCACATATTTTTCATTAAGGTTCACAAACATCTGCTTCACAAAGTCGACTGAACCAAAGCAGATTTTAATGATTTTAAACTGCTGCCTTTTTGAGGTAAGGTTAATACAAATTTAATGAGAAACACTACATTATATATATTAACTTAACAGAAAACTCCAGATACAGCCTTACAAGGTAGAATAGGTTCCACACTCACCAGCTCCTCTCTAATCGAATACACAGCGTGTTTGAGATAGTCCAGCATCTCAGTGACGATCTCCGTAGCGTTGGAACTATCGCACATTGCATAAAGCAAATCAACAGCTCTTTGCCTGACACTTACGTCTAGCTCGTTCTAAAAAGCAACAATATCCGATATCAATATTAACTCAGAGCAGTTGCCTGCTAAAATATTTCAAAATATCAAAGGGTGTATATCTTACAGCCCTTCCTGTACAGTATCGAGCACTATATGACCGACTGAAATAGGAAATGGAGAAAGAATGTTTTTCGAGCATTGGTATTTAAAACAATAGCACTGTGTGATTTGGTACATTCAAAACATTAAGTGGTTTGTTACTGCATCAAGTGGTGAGTGTTTTCATTTATACACAACGTTAAGGGAAGTGTTCCTCAAGGAGTGCTTCCTGTGCCTTTCATTAGACTTTTTCTTTCAATTCCTGATCTTGTTATGTTCAAAGACCTATTAAAGGCTGAGTTTTTGCAAATTTCAGTCTTTTTACACGGGCTTTGACACTTACTAAATGACTTTTTCTTAAATCGAGTCTTCTTAGATTTCTCATTTTCACAAGGCCTTTCAAGATTTACCCATTTTCACACAGCTTTTTTTGCAAATCAGAACTTCAGATATCCTTTTGGGACAAAAACTTGCGAACTTTATAGTTTCCCTTAGGTACTGTTACCTTCGAAAGGCAACTTCGCTACAAGGAACAGTGAAAATAACAAACAATCATGTCTTTGCGAGCATCGGCGAGCATTTGAGTTTGTTTTCAATGGTCCCTTCATCTGGTAACTAAGTTTATCATGCCGAAAACAAACGAGCACTCTGGCATGGTACCTATTTACAAAGACTCGATACCCTGAACTAGAAAAACATCGAGCAGAGACCGTGACTTAGTTAAGGGCTCATCAAAATCGGACTTCTCTCAGCATGGGGACCGGGCATTCTGCCCCCTTTCGATGAACGGCCAAACAGAGAGAGCTAAAAACATACCTTTAAGGCTTGAATAACAATTTCTTGATGTTTACGAACAGCATCGGCCGAGAATTCAGAATTGGCCATCGAACATAGGCTTTCAAGCGCAAGATATCTGGAAACGAACAAAAAAATCATCAATATCAGATGATTTTACAGGCTGCATCATCTTCAGTGTTGAGGGTTATCTGGGTCTTATAATATTGAGCTTGCACATTACAATCTTTATACTTACGGAAATGCAATTGAAAAAGCAGCCACCAAAACATTGGTAACCTTTCTACAAAGGACGGCAACACAAGTGCAACAGATGTCTGCAATATGGTTGTTTCAGTAAAGCTATAGCTAGACATCTGTGAAATTGGTCCCCATGATGTATAAATCAGCATTTGTATGCATTTACATGATAAACTTAAGTAATAAGAAAAGGCATGACCGTATTCATTGAAATTTTGTATGTGACGTAAAGCTAATGGACATTGCCCCACAACACACAGTAATTCTGGTCATACAAGATTGCCTCTTATAATAGGAGGTATCTTTGAATCCAGTTGACAAAAGACAAAGACAAAACAACTCGTTGCCTTTTCTTAAAATTAAGTAACAACAATAAGATGATAAAAATAATACTTACCTTAAATTTGTCTCTCTGTGAGTTAGATACTGTCCTAATTGGTTGCAAGAACGAATTAACAAATGCTGGTCGCTAGGGGAAAAATAAAACAACCAGTCAAGGATGGGCTAAGGGGAGCTGTTTCAAGGAGGGTTATTTAGGCTTACAGATCCATCCTGTCAGGATACCTAAACATGTTTGATTCACAAGAACTGACAATTTATAGCATCATAGAAATGGTCTTCCTTTTTTGAACATATAAGGGTATTCATATGCCTTATAGGCAGAATAGAGTTATAGGCGTAAACAAGAGAGGTACTTTATGCAAAATATTGTAGCAAAATAGGGTCTTGATAACTACAATAGCAATGCATCAAACTTTGTCAGCATTTATACTCACTTGTCCATGTGTATTATCAAACTAATTGCTTCAAATAAAACTGAATTTTTCGAATTGGAATGTTGTACTTTCTTTGACTTCGGTGGCTCCTTGGGTGAAAAGTAAAAAATTCCGTTACACCATCAGTTAACGACAAGAAACTTGTAAACATTGTCTACAAATTCTGCCTGTTACTTTTCCTTTAGAATCATTTTCAATCCACACTTTGGGGGAATGAATCATAAGTATGAACAAGAATAAAAATAGTGATTGTGTTGAAAATAGAATCCCTGAAAAAAATTTGTGTACCCTACAGTTTTTGAGCAATGCCGATAGCAACCCTTTCCCCTCCGGAAACAATGTTTTATATAGCTACTTAATGTTAAGTTATTCGGTGTGGTCCACTTGATTCCATTCAGATAAATATTGAACTATTGAACTCTACAATCGATGATGTTTTGGAGGAGAGGTGGTGCGGTATCATTCTTTTTTACACGAAACTGTAAGCAAGGATTGTAGGGTCAAGCAGCAAACTGGATACAACAAAGTTTCATCTGCTCTTCGGGCACCAAAGAAACCAACTAAAACAGTGGCTTGGTGTCAAGAGAGGGACTTAAGGTAACCTCAACTATGCACAAGAGATTTCTGAACAATGGGCAGCTTGAATAAAAATACAGCCAAAGATGAACAAAATACTTTGTCCAATACTATAAATATTCTTGTGGTTGTGATGGCAACAGTTTAAATCAAAATAGAAATAATATTAAAAGCTTTAATTGATCTGGTTATCCAGTATTTGTTGCCATGCAAACTGATGGTTATGTCAGAAAGATATTGAAAGTTTCAGGTTTATTAAGATCCCTTGGCAACTTGAAACTTTAAATTTTACAGCAACTATAATATCTGGCTAAACGGATAAATGTTTTAACTTTAGTAAACCCTGGCATTTGACATGCATAAGTAAAGCGAATCTAAAAATAACTTAGGCCAAATTGATCAGAGCAAGCGCACAAGAAAGGGATTGGAAACTGCTCACGTGAAACCACTGTGCGCTGCTCTAGGATTTCACCGATTTGCAGAAAGGCGGAAACTGTTCACGAGCTTTTCTCTGTGCACAATTTGATTGGTCAACTGCTCGTGGTCGAGTGGCTGTAAGCCAATTTTATCTGCGTCAAGTGCCTTTAAGAGTCTAAGAAACTTTGAATTTTGCATCACAGAAAATCAGCTTTATTTAGTCACAACATGTAATCGATCGCATCTAGAGAGTATTCCTGCTGGTTTTCGTGTTGGTTTTGATAAGAATTTTCAAGCAAAATTATAAGGACACTTTGAAATGATAAACGCAAAATATATAGAGGAAAAAAATTTTAAAAACTGACCTGAGCTTTATTTAGGATCGTGTCTAAACACTCCGTCAATTTACTCATCTGGGCAGCATCATCTGACAATAAACAGAAAAATGATGAAATTTGATACAAAGTGGACCCCAGTGTAAGTATTTAAATGAACCAACATGCACCGCTAAGTGGGTAACTTCAACAATACATGATTCTACGACTTGGTACATATTTTCTAACTTACATATTCTACTATAATTTTCACATTCCTATACTCCGAGGGATGTCAGACTAAAGGTTTAGTATGCCTTAATTTTTTTTGGTTTTCAAAACAATTCTTAAATTCTGTGCCATCAACAAACTGTTCGAATAAATGATAGATAAAACACCTGCAAATAAAGAGAGAACTTCGTAGGGTTAGGAAGTCACAAAAATGGACTCGCAAATCAGCAATTGTGTTTGACAGACCAAAGATATTAAATTGAAGTGAAAGGCATTTGAGATATTTAGCAAATCTTGGTTAAAATTGTGGGAGGAGTTCCAAAAAACAATAAAAATCGGTGAACACTATATCTAGGAGCAAAAAATAGAGACCATAATATGTTTAAACGCCTCGAATTAATCTATAAGAACGCCTCGTAGTGGTACTGAATTTGCCTTTTCATGGGTATAATTAGCCTGTGGTGAAAAAATGAAAGACCAACCTGGAGGCGGATAGAACTGAAGAAGTCGTAGTAATTTGACAGACAACCAAGGTGCAGGGACAAAGTAGTATGTGTAGTCTTGGAGATCCGTGTACGAAGAAGTGACAATCTGAAAGGAGAGAAAACAAATACATGAACGCTGGATCGAAACGATATTCAACGATGTTTTATAGTGATTCGCTGTTTGTAATGTACGTTTCAATGCTTGATGAATACCACACTGTGCCCGTATATTAATGAGTAAAAGGAGATGGCTTGGTCCATACGCTGTTGACTGCTGAATCAAGCAATCATCTGCTTTGTAAATCAGCCGACTGCAGGGATGGATAATAACATGGTCTCCCAGTGCCAGACTATTAGCTCCCTCTGCGGTCTCCTGCATATGGACTGTGGTCTCCGAAAATGGAACACTGGTGACAGGGCTGGACAATTGCAGTAAAAATTTGGTTACCCGGCGGTTACCCTGTGTAACGATTAGCGGTCTCCCGCTGATAAAAACAAGTCGTCCAGGGTGCGCGGGAGACCGAATTGTCCACCCCTGTGACTGATGAGTGATGGGTTGATTATTGCTTGTTGAAACAGTCGATCAACACTGACAAACAAGTTTATTATTGAGCAATTAAAGGTATTCGTTCTAGGCACATACCCTTGCTAATCTGGAAATTGCCAAATTGACGCAACCTTTGTAGTCATCAGGGTACTTTTGGATAAGTTCTTTCAGTAAACTCGAGGCTGCTGTTACGACACCCTGGGGAGATAATGTTTGAACAAATCTTAAAAAAGTATATATATGAAGAAAGGGACTGGAGAATGAAAGTAAAAAATCCGTAAGATTTGCAGACTAACAAAAAAAATGTGCACAGCCTTACAGTAGAGGGCAAACAAGAAGCAGGCACGTCTAGAGATCAATAGAGTTGTCAAGTGATGACGTCACAAAAATATATTTTTTGAATTTTTTAAATTTGTTCCCATAACTTGAAAGAGCATCTTGAAATACCTCTAAATCTCAAAAATCAGTTAAAGGTATCACGAATTGGCTGAGATATGACCAGATGAGCACAAGCTCTGGCCCCATCAAACCTATGTAATTGGGTCAAAGTTTATAAGTTGATGAACTGAGCCAAAATAACAGTAATCTGTTAGCAAACTTGTTCTTTTACATTATGTGGTCAAAATTGGAAATTCCAAGAAATAGTTTTTTGTGACGTCCTCTTTCAAGAAAACGTACTAAACAGAAATCCTCTTCATTTCTAGCCGATGTTTGTTGTATAATGGGGAACAACTATTTATTTTAATCTGGCGTTAACTAAATTTCAATATGAGATACTTTTGGTGGAGGAAGGGTTTTTCCTTCAAGAGAGAGTAACTGTCTTAAGATCAACCCAAAATGATCATTCACATACCATATCTGATTCATAACAACAGACCTCAATACTTCAGACAAATCTTATTAATACGGCCATTCTGTAGGAAATTTTAATCGACATAATCAATATCTTTACTTAAATTTGGACTTGCCGAAAACTATAATCCCTAAAGTGGTTCATTTACTTCTTTATTGAAGTCTTGTAGAAGAGGTTTTCAGTCGAAACTAGAAATAGATTTTTCACATTTGACAAATAATTTCAAATTGATCAGCTATATATGTCAGAAAAAGCCAAACGACATGTAAATACTGTTTTTGGTGCCCTGGCCTGGACCTACAATTGGAACGAAACTTTCATATGTTCAAATGGATAGTGGCTACAAATAAAAAGTGCGATATCAAAGAAATTGTCCTACCAGATTCGGATCATTAAGCATTTGACAGATCCTAGACGTCCATTCTGATGTTCTTGGCACAACATCTTCGCTTATTCTGAACAGTTTTAGTAGGCAAAGTGCTGCACACTGCTTCACCGAGTCGCTTGAATCCCTGTAAAACGACATATAGTTGCGTCATTTGCATTAAAAGTAATAAATTACATTCCAGTTCCTAGAAAATAAACGTAAGTGTACTAACTTTGCAAAATGTGCAGTGTCAAAATGCAGCAATTTTATCAGTAATTCGTTGATAGACACTCTTTATGTCTTTCATAAAGGGGGGGGGGTTAACAAACGAAGGGTGGAGGATATCTCTCAAAACTAACAACTGAGGGGTAAAAATGATTAGGGACTGGGGAAAATTTGATGACTGTTAAAGGAAGAAATCACAATAAAAGGGAGAGTGGGGAAAGTCTTCAAAAAAATGTACATCAAAAACAGAGGACCCATTGAGTAGTTAGCATTAATGGTTGCTTAGCAAGCAGAAGAACATTAGAATAAGATTAAAAAGAGAATATGAGTAATTAACAGTGTAGGGTCATATTAAGCTCGAGGTGAGAAAATTTTCCATACATTTATATGTTGGGGGAAAACTTATAATAAATGCAGGTATGTACAATAACAACACTTAAGGTGGGAATTCTAAAAGCTATCAAATCTGTGTGTAAATTCTTGTCCTAACACTAATGAAGCCTCATCCCCAAAAGAAACTATTTGATCTAGATAAAACCAACCATCAAAACTTGATTGTTTTTTATGGAATCTCCTACAGGAGACTCCTCATCGAAATTAACCAACGAAGCATGCGAAAATTGACATGGGATTTTCAACACAGTGACCACATGTCATCTATGAAGAATCTGTTTAATCTGGAGAATTTTATTGGATAATTATGAATACAGCAGCGAAGCACAAACCCAGAGATAAGAAGCTTTGGGATATCCATCTTGACATTCTCCAGCATTTCTTGACCTCCAATGTTGGCAATACACTGCATGGCAAGACTGACAAAGATTGGATTTCTGCTCACGAGGTCATTCTTGATTCCTTGAATAATCAGCCTCATCAGGTCGCTACTTGCACCAATTAAGACTGAGATAAACAGATATCCCTAAAACAGGAAAGCATTGAATCAAATTAAAGTTCATAAAAAAACAGGAAAGGAGAGTTTGCCACTTTAAACATTTCAGTTTCATATGCCAAACCATGCACTGGTCTGCCTATATGGTATCAAGTATATACTTTAAGACAGACAAATAAACAGTAATGCTGTAATGCGCTATAAATTTTCTCCATATAATCTTTGGAATAAGAAACTCAAATTACAACTTAGAAAATGTTTTGATACATCAAACTGTGTTAGATTTTTCTCATGAGTTAACAACTTTAGGTATAATGTAAATCATCGAATTGGCCCCCCTCAAAAAAGCCCCTCCCCCTAGAACTACAAATTGTCAATAAGCCCCCCCCCCTCAAATTAGCCCCCACTGCTACCGTAAATTCTTAAATTGGACCCCCTTGATTTGATGATTTTTGCCATCTGAGTTTGCCTATGGCGTTCTATTGAATAACCACAACAAATTCATACTTTTGATAGAAATTAATTAAATGCTCATTCCTACTAAAATAAATGAGGTTTTTAATAATGTCTTCTTAATGTCTACAATAATCTTATAAGGCCCCTCTCGTATAAGCCCCCCCTCTCGTATAAGCCCCCCCCTTGAATAAGCCCCCGTCCAAAAATATCAAAAATGAGTAAGCCACCAGGGGGCTAATTCGAGGATTTGCGGTACATGCATAAATTATAACAAGTTCCATAGAAAAATTTAATTAAACAATTGAAATATATGTTTCCCATTTTTCAGCCATGCAGACACTCATGTCACAGCTACAGGAGTAAAATAATCCAAAACACCTAATTCACATCCCCTGGACCTTACTGTGGATAGACTATCCAAAACAAGCAGCAAATGCCATTTAATACAGTTAGGAAAAAAGACTTCTTATCCTATGGTTCTGTGTTGTGTTCCCAGTTTCCCAAATTTCAAAAAGTTCTACACATCTATAAATATCTGAAAAACCTACAAATTACCTTGAGTGATATGAAGGTACTAAAGTTTATAAATTCAACTAACTTTTTCTATTTAAATTAAGTAGTTTAACGGGTATAATCAAAGTAGGATTTGAAAGAAAAATGTAAATATCACATAAAAGCGGAAAAAGAAACAATGTAGACTTAAAACAGAACAGAAAACCAGAAGTGAAACTAAAAATGAACCCAGAACATGGATCACTTCTACGAAAAAATTAATAGTTTTCTAACTGGCTTACCAATATATACAAGCTTAAAAGTGTAGATCGATTAGCATTTGACAACTATAGCTCACATTGAAAATGAAAGCAGGGATTAGAAAAGATAAGAAAGAAGCCTGTTGTCATTTTTGATGAAAAATGTTACTTGAAACACAAATGTTTCATATCAAACAAAAGATCTACCTTATCATAAAACTTTATGGAATTCCATTAAATATAAAAATGAGCTGCCCAATGCTAGATTAACTTGACAATATTATATTTCAAAATTGAGACAAGACACAGCTTTAGAGAAGATAGTCATAGTTTTCTGAAAATATAATGAAACCATTAAATTCCCCTTGTACCCATTGGTTTGACATGTCTTTCTGACTTAACAAATTTCTGACAACACTAGTTTTGCTTTACATTAGTTTCATTAAAGGGAAAGCCCTCAGGAATTTTCAAACTAAAGCAAAGCTACAAGCGTGTTGGCTGCCTGGGTAACATGAACTTTGGAGCTTACTTATCTTACAACAAAGCATTGGTTTTATAGGATATGTGGGGCAGATAGCCCTTAAAATGCGTACAAAATAAAATCATTGTAGCAAACATATCATTTATAAACAAACCATGAAAATATCTGTTAAGAAACTATATACTGAGCCCTGACATCAGGCCTTGAAAAAAGATTTTTCTTCCTGGCAGCAAAATAAAAAATTCAAAATTTCCTGCGAAGCTTCGACAAAAGTTTCCAGCCACTGAAAGTGATATTTTACATTGCTTGATTTGTTTAAAAGTTTGTCCTGAAATAAACTTTCATACTAAAAAGGGACTTTTTTTAAAAAGAACGAATTTTTAATAACTTTGATTAAATTTAATATCAGTACTAGAACCTAGATACTTTATAAGTATTGATGTATCCTAGCTATTAAAACAGCAATCATCTTGTTTATACTTTATAAGATGATAAAGGAAAACGTGATCGAGAACAATACTCATAGTTTGTTTTCAAGGTTAAAGTTAGTAGATCTTAAAATCTATAATAACATTGATTTAGTTTCATATCAGTACTAGCAAACTAGATACTATTAAAGCATCGATGTATCCTACCCCTTGCTCTTGGTTTCATGGTTGCTGCTCATTTTTATCATCAAAGCTAGTAGTTCATACAACATGTAAGAATACGATTTTATTTTTCAATAGTTAAAATAAATGTTTGAAATCAGGGGTGGTGCTAGAGGCAAAGATTTAAGACCAAAACGCTTACATTCTATATGTGAATGCCAGTAGAAAAATATGAATAATAATGGACACATCCACACAGGGCTTGGGGCAAGTTCACCTTCAAAACAATTGACGTAAACAATTGGCTGTATTTAAGTGTTTTCACTTATCTAGAATGGCTAATGTAAAAAGAGAAATTAACTTTGTTTTAGCTTACTAGAGTTAAATTAGTAGCTGAAAATCATGCCCGGAAATTTAGTATAACAGACGCTGATAAAACCAGATGATTGTATTTTGAAAGCTAATCTTCATTTTTTGTTACTAGAACTGAACAAAAAATTTACAGTATATATGTGTGTGTATCACAAGAAAACAGCGTTCTGTAGAAAGAGAGTAACATGAATTTAATGTTTGTATTAAAATGGAGATTTCTTGCTAAAAATTTCCTGGCAAACAGCAACAATTTCCTGAAATGAATTTGTCTTAAAAATTTCCTGGCAGCCTTGCTGCAGGCGCTGACGGACATTTTCCAACCCTGCCTCACATACCTATAAACTGAAGCTTTATCCAGAACAAAATAGCCTGCTGTAAATAGTTACATAACGCAAATAAAATACATAATCTGCACATTCAAAAGCAACAGATAAATGCTTTGAATATTAAATCAATGCCTGCATACTTCAGTAATCTCCTTTTAAACATTTATGTACTGGAATTTATATCAATTTATATGTATTGAGTCATTTGTTTGAAGAATACAAATCTTTCAAGTCAGACATCTTTGAACAAGTTAATCTGTAAACAATACTGCAGATTAAAGATAAGATATTTGTCTGGTTTAAGAGAAAGATCTAACTGGTGGTATCTACATATAAATTACCATGACAGTGTAGCACTGGTTTGGCATGGGAACTATATGTAACATATACATAATGAACGATTAATGATAAGAACAGGTTCTCTTTGGAATGCTTACGGAAGCAATGCAAAAACAGAGAAAAAAGACAATAAAATAACTTACAATCTGCTTTTCTGTATATTTGTTGGAAGACAATAGGTTGACAGCTTCCATGTGTCCAAAATCAATGTCATTACCAAGCAGAAAAATGAAAAGCAATTTGCAGACATATTTCTTCTTTTGATATCCATCCAGCTGCTTGTCACCTGAGCAAAAAGAAATGTCAATCAAACTGAATGAAAAGAAGAGATAGACACACTGTTTCCTTCAAAAATATTGCTCAAAATTTGCTAAGCCTCTTTATATGTGTTGTATAAATTGTATTTGTATTCTAACAGATACAAATATTATCAACAATTTGTGATTCTGAACCTGGCTTTGAATCTTTATTCATTCCAACATTTAACAAATTTTGAGCCTCAATATTTTCAAAAAAGTTTGTAAATATTCAATATAAAAACACCTTAAAGGGATAAAATAATTAAATATTTCTTATATTAGCAAAAAAATACAACAATATAAAGCACAACAGAAAAAAAATACTTGAGGGCATACTTCAGAAAGATGAATGACAAGCTCTTGAAAAATTTTACCTTTGAATTTTGATCTGATATTTGCAAGCTCTTTGTTGATTCTTTTCATTTCAGCCTCTTTGGACTTGCCTGGAAAAATTAGTGACATGAATTAAAACAATGTGTCTCTAAATCTATGTTAATTGATTTTAGTTTCAATTAAATTTTAAATATCAAGCAATCTTGTAATGTGCTGTTTGTCACTGATAATTACATACTTGCTATGCTAACTTTATATATTTTGGCTAAAATTATGATGAATGTGTTTTATTAAAACATGTGCATCACAGCTTCAAAACTAGAAAAGTAATTTAAAATAATGTTACTTTAAAAAGTGAGAAAACTAAAAGCAAAATGATTGGAAGGTGCAAAAAAATATGTTAGTATAATTTGGTGATATAAAAAAAAATGCAACCAATGGGTAGGGATGTTATAGTGATAAAATTTCAGGGGGGGGGGAGCAAACCAGTTTTTTTGCAAATTTTACTACATAAGTACCTGAAAAAGAAAATTGTTAATGCTCAACTGTTGCTAAAGAAATTTCTCATGTAAATTTTTAAACAAATCTAACAAAATTCAGATGCCAATGACAACAGCGTTAAAACATACATAAACTTCAATTTAAGGCAGGTGAACCTCAGAGCTTGATAACTTTCAGAAAAATCAATCTCTTATCATCTGTTTTAAACTTCCTATTGGAAAACACTTCATAAAAAATTTTTAGTTGAAAGACAAGCTAAAATCTTCTCAAATCCTGCCAGTTTTAGAAGAAGGAGAAACCATTTACCACCATAAAAACAACTTGAACAGAGGTACATTTAAAGTTACTCAGAATTAGACAGAGGTACAACTCAGAATTAGTCCAAAATAATAGATTGTTTCCTTCTTCTTTTATGGGATTTCTTTATTTATATAGACTTAAAATGGGCATTTAATATATATCTTAAAACATTTACTTTTGTCTTCAACAGCACTCAATAGATAAAAATATATTTATATATATATATATATATATGACAGAAGCAGTTTTGACTTAATGAAAGTTACCATTCAAGCTATTCTTCATTCTATTCATGTATATATATATCTATAAAATTTCATAATTTATTAAACTTTTTCAGTATATACATGGCTCTTGATTCATGATCAACTATTTCTTATCTACAGTTCAGGTTCAGGTTCATTTTATTTTAAATTCCACAACATAAATTTCCACAAAAAACTAATAAAAATAGAGCAACGTCAAATATCAAACAATAACTATAACAATAAGATATGGAACACAAGTTATCTGTGGGATATGTATGTATGGGGAATTATTTAAAGGAGGAACTCTCTCAGTAGCGAAGTTAGTCGAGGAGAGAGGCCCTCCTAAAGTATACATTAAGATATTTCAGCACTTCAAAGATATCAAAATAAATAATACCGAAAATGAAACTCCGCTTTCTATAAATGGGACAATGATAGTAGTTTAAGTCAAAAGGAATATACTAAACTATCACAATCCTTCATTTAAAAACAATATTATTACTTCTCATTCTTCAATCAATCTAACTGTCTTTAGGAGTTACACCTATTTCCATAAGTTACCTTTAAAATGTAAATATTTTCATCATTGCGAGTAGATAAATGCCCTAACATAAGATAAATGTAAAAAAATGCATAACTCTATTGTTTATCTCTTTTTTCAAAATCACACATATCTTTCTTGAGAGATATGAACATAATGCACAGCTGACAATATCTAACATTTCCTAATAAGCAACCAAGCAGTCAAAAAAGATTCTGCTGTAGGTTTTAAGGCCCTCTTACAAAAATATGTTTATTTATACTAGAATGCAATGCATAAAGATAATATCTAAAAAACACGAGTACAATTGAAAACATGCTACACATAAAAAAACAATAAAAGGCAAGTCGATCTATCAATCTTCGCATGCATTGGTACTTCCTTTATTGTGTTGTGAGCTCATGGTCGATTCAAACACTGCATGAACCGCTTACACACGCTTCTACGGACACACGTTTTAGGGATTCTGAGCAAATAGCTGGGTTATAAGTTTTCTCAAACAGAAATGAAAATAACCTAACTTCATTTTCATCAAGGCGATTGCAACATCAAAGCGATTGCAATTGGCCTGGCAACTTCAAATGGAATCCACGTACTGCCAAGTTGCCCGAATGCCCAACCCTTTCCTAGTTCTACTCTTCTGATCGCTATATCAAGCCCTTCATCTCAAGCTAGACATTAATGCAACAGAACAATCTATCATTCTAGAAACCAGATATCTACAGAAAGTTTCAGCAAGCAGAGGGTTTGTTTTAGTGGGCGGAAAGTTCAATTTATATCACCCCACATATCGTGAATGGTGACGGCCTACTTACATCCTCGAATGTCTGAAATGAACACAGACAGGCCACGCATTCCTTCCCCTTTCACAGCAGGCATGTTGGTAAATTTTGCAAACAAAAAACAGGATGCTGGAGTTCAAGGTAAGCAGCAAATCTGTAATTATCATGCAACTTCGATCAAAGTTTTCCTCTCATCTTCGGCTTAGCCCCGCCGCCATAAAATTCCAGCTCAAGTCACTTGATCCTTGTCACCGCAATGGTGGAGCGTTGTCCTCCGCATCGGTCCTTCTCCTTCAATGCCACAGGCAAAGGGCGTCGGGCGGGGCGGGGGGTCATTTCTATAAAGGGGTCGTTTGTTGCTGTTCATTTTCGGTCGTGTCATATGGAGCAAATTGACTTTTTGGTGAAAATTAAACGTGATTTCGAAAATTTATTGAGATACAATTATATAAGATACAGGAGAACGTGGCTTGCGGTTGTAGCAGATGAAGATGTCCTTCTAAAAATTAGTGAAATCATCGCATGCATTAATTCAGCCTCTTTATTTAAGTTTTGGCCTTTACTTTCACCCCCTCCCTTGGACTTAAAATTAATTTTGATATAACTGGCTCTGAACTCTGAACTGGAAAAGATTGTGTTTTCAGACTCTGAACTGGAAAAGATCCTCTTTTGTGCTTTTGTGCCAAGTCCAGGGAACCGGAAACACAGGGGACCTTAGATAACAAAGAAGCACAAAGTGGAAGAGGAAACAGGAAGTGCAAAGAGAGAGATGGCTGGTCTGAAGGTAAAATTTGGATGCAATTAAAAGTGTCTAATAGGAAGAATTTGAATTATGGGGTCAATATGGGCTAAAGCCCCTCTAGTACCCCCTCCCTTCACGGACTTTGCTGTGGCCAGTATGCAGAGTGTGGCATGTGCACACACGTGACGTTTTTTCAAAGGCTCGTCTAATGCACACAAAAACATAGGGCTGCACACACATTTTTCTGGGAACTGGACAATTTTTAAGGACAACCCTTTTTGAAATGTTGCTTTCCTATCTTGGCCTAAACAACATTTTCATTGGAATTTTGAAATGCTAATGAATTGGGATTTTAGTTTTCATAAAACAACTTTAACTTGTGTGCTGGTCGTCAGCATCAGAACCATCTGATTGTCACAAGTTGAAAAGGTTACTGTCTATAACTAAATTAGAGAACCTGTACCACTTTTGTTATGTTCATTTTGTGAGCAGATTGAGTTTCTCTAGATGATACTCTCCTTCTGATTTGAAAAAAGCTCTGGTGGCATGGAAATGCATCAAATGAAATATGAGGCACAGCTTTTCAGGGTTGCTCAATGAAATCTGGAAGCTTTGTGATAACAATTTTACGGGCCACCTCCAATAGATTATCACAGAATGGCCCTGGAGTCATCTCATGTCTCAGTATTTTGACTCGATATTTTGAAATGAGCTATGCTTGCCCTAAAGCCTTGCTTGCCCTTTAATTCTTGATGCTCAGAATTAAAAACCTACCGACTAGCATATTCTTCGAGAAACTACAGTTTTTTTTCAATTCCCTAAGGAAGGGCTGCTAAGAAGAGGCCTTGCAGGTTACTAACAATGGCATAAAAAAGTCTGAATCAAAGAAAGTAAGATTATTTGAGAAAGTACAGTATCTGACTTGTGCTCAACCATGGTTATAGGATCAAGAATTTACTCCGTAGAGATAATTCTGTGGACTGAATTATGTTAAAATCAACTGACTGAGTGAACTGACTTAGGGGGTTACATTTCAATTCCACACCTCAAACTAGAAGTTTTGACTAAGTACAAGGGAGTGGGTCAAAATAATTGAAATTTAATCACACAACATTTATGATTGAAGTATTACTCTTCTTCCCTCGGTCAGTATCGTAGTGAGGGTGAGGGGGAGTTAAGAGAAGCCAGATCCCTGAAAACTCAATGTCAAAGTAATACCTTGGCTTTCCATAGGATGTGGACCCCTGTTCTTCCCTCTCTCAACTTTGCCTCTGAAGATTCAGGAAAGCATAAAAAATGCTCCTCGGTGCGAGGATGGCTCAGTTGTTAGAGGCGCTGACTACAGACCCAAGGGTCCGTGGCTCGAGTCCCTGCCATTACCCAACTAGAACTATCACTAAGAGTGTGGAGAGTTGCCAGCGCTCTGTAATAACAGGCATAGGAATCAGGAGGTGTGGTCGCATCCAGAGGGAGGACCAGGACACTGCTCAATAAGCATAAAGCTTCTCAGTGTCCTAAAACTACCTTTGGGTGCTAGGTAGAAACTTAAGACTCAAGGATGTCATCTTAGATGTTTCTGAAAGGAACAGAGCACCTGCTCACTTCAAGGAATGGAATTTAGCACTTATAAATTGATCTTTATTGCAATCACTCCAAATATGCTATTTTAGCATTTATCCATATCTTTTTGTTTATAACTTTTCCATTTTTGTGTGACTGTACTTCTTATCCTTCTTGATTTTTTTATTTTGCAGAAAAACAGTCTTCCTTTCACTGGAGATCCTAGCAATGTTGATGGATGGGTTAAGAGGGTAATTTGACCATATTAGCTGTGACAGAGTACCCAAGTTGGGTGCAACTAAGTTTTTTGCTTTTGGCATAGTCAATGTTTTCAAATCTACCAAACAGGTGAAAGTAGGCAAACAGTATACAGTGAGGCCAAGAGACTTTTGTGAATTTCAACAGAACCTTCATAAAAAAGTGATATTGAAACAAAATTGAAATTGCCTGTATGGGCAATTCTTAAACAATTTAACCTAAGCTGCAACTTAAAAATGATATCAGCACAGATCAATTGGATGTAGTTTGTAATCCTTGCAGGTGATGTCTTCATTTAATGAAGCCTGGCCAAAAAGTAGTTAGTAAAGATAAAGAGCCAAAGTGGATTTTGCAAAGCATTATTAGAAATGCTCAGATTTGTTTTCATATATACCATGTTGGAATTTTTTTATTAGCAACATATACTGATTTTTAATTTTTAATTGTTGCACCTTTTTCATGTTGGGTGCAACCAACACTATCTCTAGATTAACAAAATTATTTTCAATTGAAGGCAGGCTGTAGAAGTCACATGAGAGCTACTGGATTCAAGGTTGTTAGGTGTCTTTATTCAGATTATATTGCATTCCGTAAATGTATTTCTGAATGTTTTCCAGTCCAAAATCTGTAAATCAAATGATTGCTATTCAAGTGATATAAGATTAAATTTCCAGAATTGTTTGCAGCTGTGAGTTACAAGGAATGCAATTGTTTCTTTTTGCTTTTCCACATCTGCTTATGGCAGTGTGATAATTATGTGTTAGAAATGCTGCCAAATAGTTCATCTCTCCCTCTCTCTCTCTCTCTCTCTCTCTCTCTCTCTATCTCTCTCTCTCTCTCTCTCTCTC